AAGGCATGCGTGGATTGTGGGGAATGGATTAGAAGAAAGATATGGTGACATGGTGGCTAGAGTTTCTGAGATTTTCGTTAAGGTGTTTATGACTGGTGGAAGAGACGAAGACTCAATTCAGGGAGAGTTTATGCCTGTTGGATCAGATGGGAGGATTGTTCTTTCGTTCAGTCTATTAAATTCTAATCCACGTGATTGGGTCTACGATTGGTAATGATCCAAGTGTTATGCTTTCTCACAATTGTTTTGGATATATATACACTTGAAGCTTTTCTCGAAATATGTATTGCCATCATAACATTCATTTCAGCTTTAGCCTTGAAGAAATCTTGTGTTTACCGTTTCTTTTGCCGGTCTTTGTTTGACTAAGTACTTGCCTGTGACCTGTTGTCTGTGCACTCTGTTCACAGGGACTTTCAAAGGATAGACGAGGCATTGTTGGCTCCAGTGACTAAGGCCTTAGCACCTATAGCTAATATAAGTGTTGAAAGTCAGGTAGCATTCGCCACGGGACCCTAATCTTTGGCATCTTTACTATTCTCTCGAGCTACTGATCTATGTTTTCTCTGTCTTTAGGTTTTGTATCATACACCGAAGTCTTCTTTTTCATCTTGGGATAAAAAACTTCAGAGCTACATCTTTAGGACCAGTGATCTTCCCTTTTTCGTACGTACCCTTTCTCACCATCTCCATGGCTAATTTGGATATAACTGATTGCTTAAAAGATCATCTTAAATGGTTTTTCCAGGTGAATTCGAACGAATGGCACTTGGATACTTCTGCTGGAGCCAGTGGACGGTCCAAAATACTGCAATTTGTGGTGTATATTATTTTACTCTGCCCATCCTTGCTTATTATGCTGCTTGATGCTGTGACTATACTATATTGTTTCCTGATAAACTGAGCAGATATGTTTGCACAGAAATATCTCAACTCTATGATCTTTCCTCATATTGTCAGATATATTCCATCCGGAAAAGAATGCCCTCTTCTTTTGCAGTTACCAAATGGGGAGATATCTAAAACAAATGGCTTCATATCTCCGGTTAGTTTCCACACATCAATATTTTCTTTCCTTTTCATAATCTGTTGGTAGACCTTCTTTGTGAAAACAATGGCATCTTGTCATTTTGTTCTATAGATGTGGGGCGGTGTGATTGTGTGGAACCCGGGAAATTGTGACAAGGACTCTGAAAGCCCAAGTCGGAACACGATATCGCCTCAGGTCCGGTTCTCTTTTCATAGTCATAATATGCTTTACACCAATTATATATTGTTTGATATTTTCACACTCACTTTTACTTTCATAGTCCTTTTCACTTTTAATTTAAGTATTTGCAGAACCTTGGACGATCACTGAAGTATTATCATTGATTTTGCACTTTCTGAAACAGGATCTCGAGCAAATAGTTGAAATTTTCTTGGGACAATTCCGACAACTATTTGGCTTTAAGTCTGAAGCCATTTATACCAGTGGATTGGGCACTTACAAGATTTTACCTAGTGAAAGAGGCTTTACAGAGTGGTAAGTATGTGATAAAACCTAAAGTTGATGTGAGCTTATGGACAAAAAGGATTCAAAGTAAAGCAAGGGATGCTAATGAGGAATGGATATTGATGGGTGTTGTCTTTCCTGGTGTATCATTTGCAGGGAATTGGATGTCTTGTCACGGAAGCACACATGCTTCAATCTCCATTCTTGTTCAACAACCCTCGGTTCTCTCTCTAGATTGGTGTGTTATTAACTCCGCATGTATAGTTATAGCACGCGCTGCAGCATCATGGTGTTTCCATTTCAATTTTTTCTAATCTTCATCACTTGGCACTTGCAGGTTCGGTCACTCCCCAGGATGATTATCAAGGATGAAATTGGAGAACAAGTAAGTTTCTCAACTAGAACCCTTTTCTGGAAACCTTTTTCTGTTCTGATCATTCCATTGTGTTCCCCCAAACCAGGTGAAATATTCTCTGAAAGCAGCAAAGTTGGCTCAGTCTAATGCTTCTTTGGGAGGATACAGTTCTTCAGCCAGTATGTGACGCTTGACCTATACTCAAAATACTCTGTTCTACCTTAGTGTTGGTGAATCTAACAAGATATTGCGGTTTTGTGTGCCATAAAGGTTCATCAAGAGAAGCAAGGTCTCTAGCCGAGAATGCCTTCTTCCATCCATCCATCATGTCCGTCAGCTACTTCTCTTATGAACATTGCTTTGCAGTGTACTCAGTAAGATTCCTTGTCTGTACTACTGTTATTATTATTAGCATCTTCTTGTTTCTCTGAGTCTAATGTGAATCTGCTTTCCTGGATAGCCATTTTTCCTGCCCGTGGCAGGACACGTTGTCCTTGCAGCACTACGAGAATGGAGGAGATACAAACAAGAGAAGGCAAAGTACTTGACATGGCTAACCAGAAAGAAGACGGCCTAGGACTCTTTAGCATACTACAGATTCTCTGTAACTTTCTAAGTTTTTGGTTGACTGAATACAAAATTATGATAACAATGTTACATTGAGAAGGGAACTCTAGATTTCCGGCGCATTTATCTCAAGGCTTCTCTCACATCAAAAGTCGTGCAATCAAACAGTGTATGTGTCACCATGTTAAGATTACAGATGTCTAACCCAAAAAATTCTAAGCTCTTAAGATGGGCAAAATACAATCAAGAAAAAGAGAGCCAAATCCGGAACCATTTCTCATCATTCTTAATGTAACAACTGCAGAGGTTATTCACCTGAGCTTCAAACCATCATGTAGAAGTCACTAAGCTCTTAGGGTTTAGATCCCAAAGCAAGCAGTATCTTCTTCCTCGGACCCTGCAACGAAAACACATCTTGTCAAAAGAGAGCGTAATAATGTTGAACAAAGAGACTGAATGTAGTTTTTATCAGTCGTTTTTTCGTGTTACAGATCAAACAAAACAGAGAAATTGGCTTTCATTCAAAATCTGTGTAAGATAGGATATAACGGTGAGTGAGAGTAAATGTTGCGAGGCAACTGAATATGAAGCTTACCATCGGTATGAGCATAGCCTTGAGGTCATCATCTGTCATATGCATGAGAGCATCCATATCAACCTGTGAAAGACCAAAAAGGATAGGAACGTTATATATGCGTCATCAATAACATAACACAAATATCAACCTAATAGAAGATATTACATACTTCTTCCACTTGAAAAGCTGTTGAATATTTCTCGAGACCCAATGATTCCAGAAAGCTATCAACCGATGAATCAGCCTGAACCAAAAGATGACAAGCAAAGAAACATTAATGGATGGCATGTATACAAGGGAAGAGACATTGTAAGCTATGAGTCTAACTATATTTTCGCACCGGTCAGAAGAATGGTTTCTCCCAAGGAATAAAGTACTGATGGAAAAATAGAGTTGAAGAAAAGTGAATCATATTGCCTGCTGTGATTTCTTCCTGGTAGCTTGAGTGGAAGTTTTTCTAGTCTCTGTTTCAGTCGCTACGCTCTTCATACTTGGTCTAGCAGCCTCCACTTTAGGTTTTGGCGCATCACTGTTTTTTGGTTGCAGATTCATTGTCCCAGAGAGCTTTTCCCGTAAATCCCGCACGCCTGAACCAGCTTCTCGCCCACTTTGAGACACATGATGTCTCTTTTGGAGCTTCAAACGAAGATCTCTAGGATCAACTCTGCGATCTTAATAAGCCATCCGACAGAGAATCAACAACCAAACAGAAATACTTTTCTCATTATTAATTTTCTACTGAGAAGAATAGGTGAGAAAAAAACATACTTGAAAGTTGAGGTTTGTCACTACTGAAAAGATCATGCTCCCATTTGTCGTCCTGCCTTTGCCTGAAAACACGAGGAAGGAGAAACTTGTGATAAACTGATACGTAATTAACAATGAAGACTACAGAACGAGATGAATATAAACCATTCCCCAACGCAAAAGCAAACAAAGTTCATCACAATTAAATGGCCTTAAAACCCTTATCAAATCACCAACCATCAACAAAAACAACATCGGATTCAACTATTCAGGTAGGGACTCAAAGCAGAGAAGCTCATAAAGCTGATCTATCTGATTATTTAGTGAAGTTGTTTGAAACTACCAATTCAAAATGGGCAAATCAGAGAATCCTACTAAGCTAACAAAAAGAGTGGATTCCATACTCTAATTCATAGAGCTAAGCTTGGGCTGCTAAAAAGAAGATTATCATATAGCTATATAGATTAAAGATTCTTCGAGTCCCAGCTAATACACTGAAGAATCCTCGAGGAAAGCAAGTTATATCTCAATAGAATTATGACGGAGAGAGGGAGATAGATTAGAACCTCTTCCCAGTCACTTGTCGCACGCGAGAAGAGATGTCGCCAGAACCGCCATTGATACGATCCTTAACGACCTTCCTGCTTCCAGACTCAGCCTCCAATTTATCAGCATACATCCTTTATCTCTCTTGGATGAAAAATACAGAAATTTGTCCTAACCCTAAATTAGGAAAACCCACAAACGAAAAAGTTGTGTGGACTATTAGCAGCTCCCAGGTTAGAGATGCAAATAGAAACCCTAGAATCTACCCAGAAATCACAGAGAAGAAAGAGGAGCTCTTGAACAGAAACAATCCATTAATGTAGAAACTGCGGATTTTTCACACGACGCCTTTGGCTTCACGAGGATCTACGTTGAGAGAAATCGGGAAATTAACATCCAATCAAGTAACGGGTCGGGTCGGGTCGGGTCGAGAATCAGGATTATGCGCTCCGAACAAAACAAAGAAACGATCAACCGGTTTGACTGTTAGTTGTTTGTGTTGGTTATCTATTGATTGATCTGTGATTCAACCCGGTTTAATCCGGCAATTAAAAAGACTTTTCGGTTCGTTTTTTATCTTTGACAACGCGGTTAAGTTTTAATTTCCTTTTTTTTTGTCAACACGCGGTTAAGTTTTTTAGTTTCCTTTTCTTGTTTTGTCAGGTTCACTTTTTTTTAAAACATCCAGATTCCTTTCTTTGTAATGTTTTAGATTTAAAAAAAAAAAAAATCCCTAAAAACGAAAAAGTTTTGAAACTCAGAAAGACGACGACATAAGCGAGCTAGCTCTTAAGCTTTCTTCGCTAAATTCTTGGCTAATTCTCTTCATCTCTTCTATGACTGATCCAATTCTGCTTCGACTCCATATCTAGGGTTTTTGACGTCTGATTAGGTAACTCTCGCTTTTGATTTCTTGGGGGTTTTATCCCCTCTTTATGTCTTCGTTGTCTACTTGTTTCAATCGTAGGAACTTGAGACGCGTGAAGCTCAGATTCAGGATCTATATTTGTTTTTCTTTTGTTCCATTGATTTCAACTAGTCCCAGGTTAAAGAACAACGTTTCGTTTGTTCTCTACAACTTCGGTCGGTTATTTTGCATTTTCAGTTGCGCCTAGGTCACTTGTCCGAATCTGTATAATTTTTTTTTGTGTGTATACCTTGATTTGATTGCATTTCATTTACATAGTGTTGGCGCTCGGCTGAGTTCTTTGATGTAATTTGTTTGTAGAAAATGTCTCGAGCTGAGTCATCGTGGGAGAGGCTAGTGAGTGCTGCTTTACGGAGAGATAGAACAGGAGGAGTTGCTGGTGGTAACCAAAGCAGTATTGTTGGCTATGTCCCTTCGTCACTATCGAACAATAGGGACATAGATGCCATTCTGAGAGCTGCAGATGAGATCCAGGATGAGGATCCCAACATTGCAAGGATCTGTAAGCTCTTCTTCTTACTTGGGGTTTTTCCTTTAGCGGGTTTAGCTTTTCTTTTCTCTGTGCAATGACTCTGTTGTGATCTTCTTCACAATTGTTTTACTGCAGTATGTGAGCATGGTTACTCACTTGCTCAGAATCTTGATCCTAATAGTGAAGGCAGAGGTGTTTTACAGTTCAAAACTGGATTGATGTCTGTTATTAAGGTATGTTTCTCTTTTGTATATTCTAAGTTAGATACAGTCATCCACAAGTTTGTAACCGACCACTTCATTGAATATGTTAATTATGTCATTGGAAGCTGCATGAATCCTTTGATGTCATTGTTATAGCTGTTGTTTGTATTAGATGATTAATGTGTGGCAGATAATTTGGAATTTCGAAGCTGTTTTTTAGAAACTTAAATGCGTTGCTTGTGAATTATAGATTGACTTCGTTGAATTTTATTTATGTGATTTTTACCCATGGTTTTGCATTCAAATGTTTTGTTCTCACGTGTTAATTGTAGCAAAAATTAGCAAAAAGAGAGGTTGGGAACATAGACAGAAGTCAGGATATTCTCCGACTACAAGAATTTTACAGGCTATACAGAGAAAAGAACAATGTTGACACGTTGAAGGAGGAGGAAAAGCAGCTCCGTGAGTCGGGGGCTTTCACTGACGAGTATGTATATAGACTATGCGCTTTTTACTTTTCCTTTTTCCATTACTCAGATAGCTTAACTGTTGTCCATATGGTTTGATATTGGCTTCCAGGCTGGAACGGAAAACAGTAAAAAGGAAAAGAGTTTTTGCCACCCTGAAAGTTCTGGGAAGTGTGTTGGAGCAATTGGCAAAAGAGATTCCTGAAGAGGTTTTGTAGATTTATTTTAGCACATCTCTTTCATTCTTACATTTTTTGAACTCAAAAAGAATCGTGAGGATGAAATGTTTCTCCAAAAAAGTCAATTAAACTCCTTTTCAGCTAATAATTGCTTGTTTTTTACCTCTACAGCTGAAGCATGTTATTGATTCAGATGCTGCAATGAGTGAAGACACAATTGCATATAACATTATTCCTCTTGATGCTCCTGTCACGACAAATGCCACTACTACTTTCCCTGAGGTGAGGTATTTTCTATATAACAGCGCTATGTGGCTTGTCTTGCTTTATGACCAAAAAATGTGAACAGGTTCAAGCTGCAGTTGCAGCATTGAAGTATTTTCCAGGCTTGCCTAAATTGCCTGCTGACTTCCCCATTCCCGTTACAAGGATTGCTGATATGCTTGATTTTCTCCACTATATATTTGGGTTTCAGGTTTGTATATCTGAAAAGCGTTTATCCAGTTTCATATCGCACATGAAAGCTTTTTTTGTTTTTCATTTTCTAAGATATCAATTTTCATGGCCTCAGAAAGACAGTGTCTCGAATCAGCGTGAACATATAGTTCTTCTTCTGGCTAATGAGCAATCCCGTCTTAATATTCCAGAAGAAACAGAACCTGTAAGTACCAAAGTTATTTCACTTTCATATGATATTTTCTGAAAAAGCTTCTGGATACGAAGTAATTATTCATCATATTGGGTTTGTTTATATTACTAAAGCAAAAACTTCTAGCTGATGAAACTTAAAGTCAATTATTTTTGTGTTCATTCTAAAAACTTATGCGTGGTAATTGTGCTCTGCACTTTATTTAGAAGGCAATGAGTTGAATTTTAAGATCTGATGAATAATTTCATTTTCTTATGCTCAGAAACTGGATGACGCTGCAGTGCATAAGGTGTTCTTAAAGTCCCTGGAAAACTACATTAAGTGGTGTGATTACCTCTGTATTCAACCTGCGTGGAGCAAGTAAATGATCCCCTCTCCCTTCTCTATTTTCCCTGCTACCACTCTTGCATACTTACTCCGAACATTTCGTAAGATGCAGTTTAGAAGCCATCAGTGGAGAGAAGAAACTGCTATTCCTCTCTTTGTACTTCCTGATTTGGGGAGAAGCTGCCAACATACGGTTTCTTCCAGAATGTTTGTGCTACATATTCCACCATGTAAGTTTATGCTGACTGTTTATTTTTCTCCATATGTAACAGGTTTTAAGATGAATGAAATCTCCTAACTACTTATCGCTCTGACTTGCTACTGATTCATTTATCATAATATGTTGTTCGTTTGGTCTTTTGTGCTGATGCTAATTATTTTCTACAGATGGTTAGAGAAATGGATGAGATCCTACGCCAGCAGGTTGCTCGCCCAGCTGAGAGTTGTATGCCAGTCGATAGTCGTGGCTCTGATGATGGTGTATCATTCCTTGATCATGTCATTGCTCCGCTGTATGGAGTGGTTTCAGCGGTATGTCCTCTGTAATATTCTTTCACCCTAGACTTCTTGGGATTTTTTCCTTTCCCGCTCCCTTCATGTTATTTAATGGGGTATGTGCAGGAAGCTTTTAACAATGACAATGGCCGAGCACCTCATTCAGCTTGGAGAAACTATGATGATTTCAATGAATATTTTTGGTAAAAATTTAATATTATTGCCTGTTCTGTGAATTTCATTGCCTCTGCTGGCTTACATTTTATATTTTCAAGGTCGCTTCATTCCTTTGAGCTTGGTTGGCCATGGCGTACCAGTTCATCTTTCTTTCAGAAACCTATACCGAGAAAAAAGGTCTGCAATGCCCCCTTATATATGTAATAGGAATTTTGTATACATATTGGTTTTGTTGCTACTATAATGCACGTAGCCATTTGTTACTTTCGCGATGGCTATGCGCATTAAGGAAGGTTACAAATGGCTACGTGCATTAGAGAAATGTCCTTTTCTAAATCTAGATACAAACTTCTATTTTTTCTCATAGGTGTATCTGATGTTGATTAGACTGTTTTTTTCGTTGCAGTATGAGCTTAAAACCGGCAGGGCAAAACATCGAGGAAAAACTTCCTTTGTTGAGCACCGGACATTTTTGCATCTCTACCACAGTTTCCATCGGTTATGGATATTTCTTGCTATGATGTTTCAGGTTTGTGATCCCGACTCAGGGTTCCGTTTAATTGTTGTAATGATCTTTCGCGATATTCCTCAGAAGATACTTATAGTCAACGCCTATCCTTGGTGGCCTGCTGTTTTCTGGGACTGTGTTGTTTTATAGCTGCTTTGCGTTATCTATGAAGATTTTTGGTTTAACCTGCTCTTTAACTATTTTTGGTAGTATTGATTATATCGTATCGAGCAAGGGTTCACCTGCTACTACTCTAACAAACTTCTTTACAGGCATTAGCCATAATTGCGTTCAATAAAGATGACCTTACTTCCACAAAGACATTACGTGAAATTCTCAGCCTGGGTCCGACTTTTGTAGTGATGAAGTTTTCTGAGAGTCAGTCTTAAATCTCATACGCTTTACGTTAACTTCATTTATTGATATGAATTAGTGAAGAATAAGCATATGTTTAATGTTAATAGGTGTTCTGGATGTTATCATGATGTATGGTGCCTACTCTACAACAAGACGTCTGGCTGTTTCTCGCATTTTTCTTCGTTTCATTTGGTTTGGCCTTGCTTCCGTCTTCATCTCTTTCCTCTATGTGTATGTTATCATTCTTTTCTTGTACCTTCTTCAGCTTTCATTTTGCATTTGCTATTTTCCTTTATCTTGGCGTAGCTTTTGCATTACTTTGTTTGATAGTTTTTTTTTTTGTGTGTGCAGGAAAGCACTTAAAGAACCAAATTCTGACTCACCCATATTTAAGCTTTATTTGATCGTCATAGCCATCTATGGTGGTGTTCAGTTCTTCTTTAGTATTCTGATGCGCATCCCAACTTGTCACAACATTGCTAATAAATGTGATCGGTGGCCCGTTATTCGATTCTTTAAGTGGATGCGCCAGGTTTTGAGCCTATGTTTCTCTTTCGTTTTTAATGCTTGAAACTTGGATAATTTCTTTTAATCTCTGATTATTACTTTTTTTCTTTTTTTTCAGGAGAGACACTATGTTGGGCGTGGCATGTATGAAAGGACATCTGATTTTATAAAGTAGTCTCTTCACCTATTTTCATTTACTTATTTAAGTTCTGTTTTCTGGAGATTTCAAAAGTTGATCTAGAAATATCTGCTAGTAGAAAGACTTGGTTAAGACTTGGGCAAGCTTACTTCCGATAAACTTTAATGATTATCAAACTGTAGTTTTTTTACTTGTGTGGGAGAAGCAGCAGATATACTTGTTTAATTGATACCAACATACTTAACCCTGTATTGTCTTTATGTTTTTAATTTTTGAAGAATTTACTCACCCAATTTTACAATACAGGTACTTGCTATTTTGGCTTGTCGTTCTGTCTGCAAAGTTTTCGTTTGCGTACTTTCTTCAGGTTGGTGTTTCTTGCTGGAAGCATAATTTTAACATGTTACATGCATAAAATACTACATATGTACCAAATATGTTTCTTCTCTCTGTTAATCTAGAATATCCTTTTGTATTCAGTATAGATTCTAGCTCAAATCCGGTGAATTCTTAGAGTTGGAAGTAAATTTATGAATGCAGGCGTTGACTTTTTTAATACAATAAGAAAAATATTCATCTGAGAATTAACGGATATTTCTCTTTATTGTGATCTCTTGTAGTCACATGTTGAAGTAATTATTTGATAAACATGGCAAGATGCTTGGGCAGTTAAAGTACGACTTGAATTACTTATTTTTCTCATGCTGATAAATTTGCAGATTGAGCCGCTTGTTAGCCCCACAAGGATGATAGTGAAACAGAACAATATTCCGTACTCGTGGCATGATTTTGTGTCAAGAAGTAAGTATGGAATTTGTAGATTTTGTTTAGTGAGTAGAGTCGACCATAGACATCGCTTTTTCATGTACGATGCTTAATTGTTTGTAAGCTAGTTGCTTGAAGGATTGTGGTGTAGTCTGTTAGTTCTCTCTGGAATTGTACACCTATGCTTATTTTCGGTATAGGATATCAAAGCCGAACTCCAAAAACATCAGTAAGGTCCTTCTAGGGATGTTATTACCTCTACTATTGGGTTTTGTGTTAATAGCTGTTCTGATCATCTTGAATTATATATCATTCTCCGTGAAATTTTTTTGGTGTACAAAAATTCGCATACTCTGATTTTCTTTTTTACCTGGATGCAGAAAACTACAATGCGCTGACTGTTGCCAGTTTATGGGCTCCTGTGGTAGCTGTAAGTTCAATGGTCGTTTCATGAGAATTGGCACTTGTGTTGTTCTAGGTTTTGTCATCAATCGCTGAATCAAGTAGTTGTCTCTGGAGAATTACTTCAGTTATAGGCGGATATTGTTTAAAACTATTTCACCAATTTTGGTGAAGTTTATTCTGAAATTGGTGAAGTTTTGAATGTTGCTGTTGGGGATTCACAGTGAAGTTTTCCCTCATGGTATTGTAACTTTGTCTTTCATCTAACGCAGATATACCTGTTAGACATCCATATATTCTACACCATTGTCTCTGCATTTTTGGGGTTCTTGCTTGGTGCAAGAGATCGTTTGGGGGAGGTAAGTGTGGTTACACTCCTTTCTGTCTTATAAATGCCAAAATTCAGATATTTAAAACTGTTACAACACTATTTGTAAGAGGTCCTTACGTTTCTGATACTTTCCTTGCAATTTGCACAGATAAGATCTTTGGAAGCAATTCACAAACTCTTTGAGGAGTTTCCAGGGGCCTTTATGAGGGCTCTTCATGTTCCTCTTACCAATCGGTTAGGTTCCTTTCCATCTGCTATCTAAGAACATCATTTTTCCTCTATTTCTCCCTTTATCTTTGTTAAATATTAACATTTTCCCGTGTTCATTTTCTTTTGCCTATAATTCAATATCATGTGCAGGACGTCTGATACTTCTCATCAGGTAGTGATGTTTTTTTTTCCTCTTCTCTTTTCTATAGCTGTTGGCTTATTTTACATTATATGAATCACTATTTTGCTAAATAATGTACGTAAAAATGTTGTCCCCGCTGAGTCAAGGGGACTGGCATGTTATTTCTTCTCACTATTGTTGTTCATATTTGCATGTCATTATCAATTCAAAGGCTGTGGATAAGAACAAAGTAGATGCAGCACACTTTGCTCCTTTTTGGAACCAAATAATTAAAAGTTTACGAGAGGAAGACTACATCACTGATTTGTAAGTGCTTTACGCTCTACAGTAACTATGCTGTGTGCGTAATTCTCTAAGCTTCTGCAATTATATATTTTCTTTTTTACTTAATTTTTCTCATCTGGAATCATTTTGTAGTGAGATGGAGTTGCTCTTGATGCCCAAGAATTCTGGTAGGCTCGAATTGGTTCAATGGCCACTTTTTCTTCTTTCGAGCAAGGTGAGTTAGTTACTTTACCTGCGTTTGTATTAAATTCAACGTTTTAATGTGTTATCTCGCTAGCCTCATTGCTTTCCATAAAAATTACATATGAGGTTACGCCTGAGTGACAATTATTATCTGATAATCTACTGTAGATATTATTGGCCAAAGAGATTGCTGCTGAGAGTAATTCGCAAGAGGAGATTCTGGAGAGAATTGAAAGGGATGACTATATGAAGTATGCTGTTGAGGAAGTCTATCACACTCTCAAACTTGTCCTAACCGAAACTCTGGAAGCCGAAGGGAGGATGTGGTAATGGATTTGTGGCCCTAAAATCACTTAGAACGATTGTTGCTGGATAAAAAGATGACATTTATTGTGAATTTTTGTAGGGTGGAAAGAATCTTTGATGATATCAAGGCCAGCTTAAAGGAGAGAAATATACATCATGATTTTCAGTTGAACAAGCTCTCCCTTGTTATCACGAGAGTGACTGCATTCTTGGGAATCCTGGTATTCGCATTGCCACTGCTAATTATGTGTCTGTCAGAAATGCCTTTATTTACCGGCTCTTAATGATAATAGTAGTAATTTGTATGATGCTGAAAGTTAGATTATTGTGAATTATAGGCGTCCTTACCTATTAGTGGGAGGAGCGTGCCATAGTTTCTTCACCCTTTATCAATTGGACAGAGTTTTATTTTGTTATTTTCCTTGCATGATATTCTATATTTGATTTTAAATTGTACTCAATTGCATGGACAGAAAGAAAATGAAACACCGGAGCATGAAAAAGGGGCCATCAAAGCACTTCAGGATCTCTACGATGTTATGCGGCTTGACATATTGACTTTTAATATGAGGTGCATACAAAGTTGATGATTTGGCTTTGTTTTATGCAACAATCCAATCGCTCTTTTCTTTTCCTTGTTCACAAGGATATATTTTTAAATTATGTTACTCTGTGTAGGGGTCATTATGAAACGTGGAACATATTAACTCAAGCCTGGAATGAAGGTCGGCTTTTTACAAAATTGAAATGGCCTAAAGATCCTGAGATGGTATAATGATGATTTTTGTTGTCAATGCTATTAGTGCATTCATTCTTTTTCGTCAGTCTGATAATTGTCTTTGATTTGCAGAAAGCTCTCGTCAAAAGATTGTACTCTTTATTTACTATCAAAGATTCTGCAGCGCATGTTCCTAGAAATCTTGAGGCCAGACGCAGACTGCAATTCTTCACCAATTCTCTTTTCATGGATGTGCCACCACCTAAGTCTGTCCGCAAGATGTTATCCTTCAGGTATTTCTTTCTCCGTACTTTGGGCATAGTATCTGAGCAAACTTTTCACAAGTTACTATCTTCTTTCGTATTATTTTTCAGTGTCTTCACTCCATACTATTCCGAGGTTGTGCTATACAGCATGGCTGAACTCACCAAGAGAAATGAGGATGGAATATCAATCCTGTTTTACCTTCAGAAAATATATCCAGGTATATCAGCCTTGTGAATTCCGTTTAAAGATTAGTGACTCTTGCCCAGTTTTTTATGTTTCTTACTTACGGTTGTTATCTTAGCTAGTTGACTTGCTTGTGTATGTTTTCTGTACTTAATTGTATTACCGTTATAGTAGGTGCCTAAAATGTCGATATTTGATATGTTGCAGATGAGTGGAAAAATTTTCTTGCACGCATAGGACGGGATGAAAATGCGTTAGAAGGCGATCTAGATAATGAAAGAGACATAATTGAACTTCGATTTTGGGCCTCTTACCGTGGACAAACGTTAGCTAGAACAGGTAAAATAAACGCATCTCTACACCTCTTGTCTTGGGGATACACTATTCACTTCATGATCTCACATTGCAAGTAATATTATACCTGCAGTTCGCGGGATGATGTATTATAGGAAAGCCCTCATGCTTCAGTCTTATCTGGAGAGAAAGGCTGGAAGAGGTAAAGAGGCTAAAGACCTTTTTATTATATCATTTTTTGGCCAAACTTTTACTTAGGGCTATCTCACTATTACAGACGATGAGGACGCAACAGACGCTGAAGGCTTTGAGTTATCTCCAGAAGCAAGGGCCCAGGCAGATCTGAAGTTTACATATGTCGTCACATGCCAGATATATGGAAGACAGAAAGAAGATCAAAAACCTGAAGCTGTTGACATTGCATTGCTAATGCAAAGGTAAGAAGACACTTTTCTGAAGTCCACTCTTGGTTAAGGAGATGGACTTTTCTATCCCAGGGCTAGTGCGTCTGTTATCATTCAGTTATATATATTGTATAATTAGGCTAATCTCTTTCATTCTATTGTCAGAAATGAAGCCCTTCGCATTGCTTATATTGATGTTGTTGATACTCCAAAAGAGGGTAAATCTCATACGGAATATTATTCAAAACTTGTGAAGGCCGACATCAGTGGAAAAGATAAGGTAATCTGTTATTATCTGTGAACCCAGTCATAAGACTAGTGTTCTTGTTTCACTAATGTTTGAAACACTTGATCATACTTTAATTGTTGGATAAGCTGTGCTTACGCTGTAAAGGGAATTTGCGTTTCCTCCCCCTTTTTCCTCTTTGGTCTTTCTATTTTGTTATATGGAATGGCCACTTTGTTCTTTATTTATGCAGGAAATTTACTCCATAAAGTTGCCTGGGGACCCAAAACTTGGCGAAGGCAAACCTGAGAATCAAAACCATGCCATTGTGTTTACTCGTGGAAATGCTATCCAAACTATTGATATGAATCAGGTTAGTATGCAATTCTTCTTTCGTCTCTTGGCATCTTTTTGTTTTAAATGTCTTCTTTCGTGATCTTGTGTGGGGTTTGTTATAGTTAAGTTTCTGGGGAAGTTCAATCAAGTAAATTTGAAATGCATTGGCTTTGTAAAAATTAGTAAGAATAATAGTTTCAAATTTAGATCTTAGAATTAGAAATATGGCGTGAGAACAACAGTCCTTCATATCTCATGCACATGTCTAGTTGAGACATCTGATAGTAGAAGATGTTTGAGAATTGGATAATTCAGCTTAAACTGATCATATGTGGCTGTAGTTTGATTTGGTTAACCGAGTATCATTCAATACCTTGTCCAATCCATGTTATTTGGATGTATTGACGAGATTTCCTCTTGGTACTAGAAAACCTTAGGTGCCACTATGTAGACTTTTACTTCAGCATAATTTGAGCTCATGCGACATTCAACTTAGATTTAACAAAATTTCGCTTTCCTTAAGACCAAAGTGGAATTTTTGCCAAATCTAAATACATAATTTCATCAAGTACATTCAATATGGATTTCACTGACAAAGAGTGGTTCCTAGCCTTGTTTCTATGTTTGACGCTCAAAATTAAACACATCTGGAGTAGGAATACTTCAATTTCTTTCTCTAACAGAGAATTGTTCCTAACTGGGATTTCGATCTTCGATCTTCGTTACCATTGAATGAATGTACCTGAAACTTCTTTCATGTGTACATGTGTGCTTTACATCCTTTACATTTTTAGACCTCTAGCATCATGTTCAACCTTTTTCATTTCGTTATTTGTTAGGATAATTATTTTGAAGAAGCCTTAAAGATGAGAAATCTTTTGGAGGAATTTGACCGGGACCATGGAATTCGACCACCTACCATTCTTGGAGTTAGGGAACACGTCTTTACTGGAAGGTGTGAACCAGAGAGTCGTATATCTATTTACTTATTTTCTATCATTACCTTACATACTTGTTTTGCGATAATATGCAGTGTCTCCTCATTGGCCTCTTTCATGTCCAATCAAGAAACCAGCTTTGTAACTCTAGGTCAACGAGTATTGGCGAAACCCTTAAAGTAAGTTACTACCAATAACTTTTATCTTCCATGAACAACTTGAACCCACATGGAATCCTTATATTATTTCTGAATTCTAGGATCCGCATGCATTATGGTCATCCAGATGTCTTTGACAGAGTTTTTCATATTACACGTGGTGGTATCAGCAAGGCCTCTCGAGTCATCAATATTAGTGAAGATATTTTTGCTGGTAAAGTTGATTTAATAATTGACTACCTTCAAAACTGTTCAATGTTTTATGAATGATGAAAAGTGAAATTCTGAATGTTGAGCCATTTTTTTTTTATCTCAATTTCTTCCACACATGATGGATGTTGATTCTATACTGCTATGGCTTCCAGGTTTCAACACAACTCTACGTCAAGGGAATGTTACTCATCATGAGTATATTCAGGTCCGTAGTTTTTAGCTCTTTACAATTAAAATGATAAAAATTATATATGCATTAATTCTATATACAGGTGGGCAAAGGGCGAGATGTTGGGCTCAATCAAATAGCTCTGTTTGAAGGGAAGGTTGCTGGTGGCAATGGTGAACAGGTTCTTAGTCGAGATGTATACAGACTTGGCCAGCTCCTTGATTTCTTCCGAATGATGTCATTCTTCTTTACAACCGTTGGCTTCTATTTATGTACAATGGTATGTGGACCCTCTTTCGAATCATAGTGATTTTATTTGCCTCTTACCATAGTTTTCAAGTTAACTCCTGCATCCAATTCCTGAATGTTTACCTGGTTTAAATAGCGCAGTCTTAGCTTCATGGGTCTTATTTTACCTTTGTAACAATACTTAGCAGTTAGCAGTCAGTTTTAGAAAAGAAATTTACGACAAGTCTTGCATTGCTAATTTCTGTGGGTCACTTTATTTTTTCCCTTTTATCTGGAGCTATTACTGATAAGTTCTAAGTTTCTCCAAGTATATTTTCCAGTAAATCATGCTGATTTATTGACATTTACATGGCTTTTTGCAGTTGACAGTGCTTACTGTGTATATTTTCTTATATGGGAGGGCATATCTGGTAAGCCTGGTGAACTAAAGTTGGTTATGACGCATGTGCTGTCTTCATGAATGATTATTGTACGATTAATTCTTGCATATACTGGATTAAGGTCTTTATAACCCTGCTTGTGTTTGATTTATAATAGGCACTTTCTGGAGTTGGAGCTACTATTCGAGAGAGAGCTATTCTTCTGGATGACACTGCACTTAGCGCCGCCTTGAATGCTCAGTTTCTGTTTCAGATTGGTGTCTTCACTGCTGTACCAATGGTTTTGGGGTTTATTTTGGAACAGGGTTTTCTCCAGGTACTGGTTCCCCACCATTTTAGTCATATCATATTGTTAAGCCATATTTTCTGATATGATTGGCAGGGAGACTGACACGTATACTGAGTTAGCTCTTTCATTTACTTGATTATCTACAGTATACTTTGATTGGATTATAAGTCGACTTATGATCATCCATTGACATGTTTTCTTTCTGATGTTTTGTTGTTAGTTAGAAATTTGTCTCTCTTTAGGCCATCTTTTGTGGTGGGCATTGTCAGTTACAGCTATGCACTGTATTCTGGAGATGGAACTTTTGTGTTCTGAATGATCATATTCATTTGCTCGATTATCTAAAAGGAGATCCTTACTGGATATGGGCATAGTGTCATTGGTCAAAATGATTATTTACTTTTTGTGTGTTTGCTTGGTAATAGAACTTAAATCTTCTCCATCTTTCATTGTGTAGGCCATCGTCAGTTTCATAACAATGCAATTTCAGCTATGTACTGTCTTCTTCACATTTTCCCTTGGCACAAGAACCCATTATTTTGGACGGACAATTCTCCATGGTGGTGCAAGGGTATATTCTCATTCTCGGTTCTTAAATCTCCCTAAATTGTCTGGAATTTGATAACCAGTGTATGTTAACAGTACCAAGCCACTGGAAGAGGCTTCGTCGTGAAGCATATCAAATTTTCTGAAAACTACCGTCTTTATTCCAGAAGTCATTTTGTCAAAGGGTGATCTTCTCTTCCTTAGTTCTTATGTATATACATTTCTGATGTATACCTGTTTAGCCATAGTAAAGGATGGAAAATTCATTGATATGTTTTTCGTTTCTCTAGGATGGAAGTTATTCTCTTATTGGTTGTCTACCTTGCATATGGCAATGATGAAGCTGGTGCGGTTTCCTACATTCTTCTGACTGTGAGCAGCTGGTTTTTGGCTGTTTCCTGGCTGTTTGCTCCGTACCTGTTCAACCCTGCCGGATTTGAGTGGCAGAAGTAAGTGGTGCTATCTTATTTATATTTTGTTGAGTAACATGTCTCTCATTGAACAAAAATAAAATTATGCTTTCAGAGTCGTGGAGGACTTCAAAGAATGGACAAATTGGCTCTTTTACAGAGGTGGAATTGGTGTGAAAGGAGCTGAAAGCTGGGAAGCATGGTGGGAAGAAGAAATGGTAAGAACTTTTCTCAGAAGAATTTCTTGCTTGTCTGAGAACTAATTTTTCTGACTTAGAAAATAATAATTATATGTGTGTGTCAACCAACAGTCTCACATTCGGACCTTGAGTGGGAGAATAATGGAGACTATTTTAAGTCTACGATTCTTTATCTACGATTCTTTATCTTCCAGTATGGTATTGTCTACAAACTGCAGCTACAAGGATCAGATACATCATTTGCGGTACAGCGCTCCCCTTCATTGACTACTTGTATCTTAGTCTGCTAGTTTCTGTGCTTAACAATATCACTTGTCTATCTGCAGGTGTACGGTTGGTCATGGGTTGCATTTGCGATGAGTATAGTACTTTTCAAGGTTAGTTTATTCCATCAGCATGCTTCATTTTCCAATAACCTTTGATCCTCTGACTAAATTTGATTACATGATCTGAGATATCTCCCATGTTTTTCTTTTGAACTATGAATAGGTCTTTACCTTCAGCCAGAAGATTTCTGTCAATTTCCAGCTTTTGCTGAGGTTTATACAAGGTCTATCCTTATTGATGGCTCTAGCTGGCATAATCGTAGCAGTTGTGCTCACAAAGTTGTCAGTGACAGACATATTTGCATGCGTATTGGCTTTTATACCGACAGGATGGGGCATTCTTTCTGTAAGTTTTTCTTCTTGCTCACCTCAGATACCTTCATTACTTTCTCATCTCTGCAGATTCGTAATTTCACAAACAAATATTCTCTTGTTGTAGATTGCGTGTGCTTGGAAGCCAGTTTTAAAGCGAATGGGGATGTGGAAATCGATCCGTTCCCTAGCAAGGCTATATGATGCATTAATGGGAATGCTCATATTTCTTCCCGTTGCTCTCTGCGCGTGGTTCCCTTTTGTGTCGACCTTCCAGACACGTATGATGTTTAACCAAGCTTTCAGCCGCGGTCTGGAGATCTCTCTTATCCTTGCAGGAGACAATCCCAATTCTGGTCTTTAAAATTTCATTTAGCTTGGCATTATGGAAGTGTTGTTATTTATATGTTTATGTTTCTCATACATTTATTTGTGTTTAGTTTTCCGAGTATAGTAGTAGAAAATGATGGGAGCGTATCTGTAGTTTTAGGCATTTTTTAAGACTTTTGTAACACATAACCTAGAATCTTCAAGTTATTACGTAAAAATGCCTTCGGAAAAAAGTGATTCAAGGAACAGTTAATTTATTGATTAAGGGTAAAAGATTAAACATAATTAATGGATGCAGTTTTGAATAAAAAGGAAAAAAAATTATTGGATCCAGTCATTGTCGAGCATGTTATATTTTCGACTTGCTTTCATTAAATTATGATCCAAGTGTATTTCTTCAGAAGGAAGATGTTTGAGCTGTGTTGTTGACGAATCCGTGATTTGGATCCTTTGAATGTTTTTGGAAGCATTGGTTGGTGGTTAGGGCTTAGATTAAAAATTTAGATTTGTTATATAACTAATTCCGTGAGAAATAAAAGCCCAATTATTCTACAGGCCCATCTAACCAAAAACGGGGACCTAATTCCAATTTCTGAAAGAAATCGCTGGCGGAAGTAGAAGGTTCTAGTCGGAAGGTCTCAGAAGTCTATAGAGGTACCGTTGGGGCAGTGAGCATATTTACCAGAAAACTCCAGAATTCGTTATTGGAGCTTCTAAGCAGAGAGAGAGAGAGAGATGGCGGGAGACACAGCTCGGAGGAAGATCAAACTTTTTTGTCCCTCGGTATCGAAGATTGTGGAGTGGGTTGCTTGGAACGACGAGAAAATAGACTTTAGAGCCATAGCCGCAGCGTTTGGGCTCGAACCATCGACGGTGAAGCTCAATGGTCACTTCATTAGCAGAGGTTTTGATCTAATCGCCACTTGTGTGACGTGGCACTCTTTGCTCACTTTCTTCTCTGCTAGAGGCTTGTCTACTGGTAAACACGAAGCCGATGCTCTGCTAGTTCACGGCAAGCTCTCTAAACTCGGTACTAAAAGTGCGTCTCTTTCTTCTTTAGTTTTCTCCAGAAAAACAATAAGAAAATTTCAATTTTGATAATATTATTTCTATCTCCTGTTCCCAGGGGCACACTCTGATCCTCAGGAGGACTTAATCAAAACGAAGAAGTTGAAAGATAAGTGTTCAGGTATGAGGATTTTTGTCACATCATGTGGTTTTAGTACTACGTGTCCGAGTTTAATCTGACTTTTCAATTCCATCAGTTGAAGAATCACCCATCTCTGGATGCAACAAGAGAAAGCTTTTGTCTCAAGATTCTCACTCGCTCAAGAAACTAAAACTCAACATGGATGATAGTTTTGGAGGGAGCGGTTCTAAAACGCCGTTGAAATGCAGTTTCATAAGTGATAATGGTCTGAAGAGGACAAGAGACGATGATATGATTGCTTCTGCATCTTGTAAGAAGATAAGATGAGCAGGCTGTAATACTTTTTGTCCCTAAATATTTGACTAAACGAGAATGCAAAATTTTAACTCTTAACCAAATCTTACACGGTCCAAAAAAAATTACCTTGTTGATACATATGGTACAACTGGTATTTCTTCAAAGTTTAGTCTACTTGTCCGTGGAAAAATATTGCCACGCTGCAGCAGCTCCTGCAACTAATATGATTTTGAAGATAAGTTTACTAGACAAGACCGAAGATTGAGCTGCAGGCGACTCTGACGATGATTGTTCTTCATTTGGTCTCCCTCTAATCTTGGCTGTGATTCTCGATAATAACTGCTTAAGCCGCCCACCTGTTTTCTTTCCTGATGGAGAAAACAGAAACAATCATAAATTTGACATTAGAATCAAGGTTTTCTCAGCTGAATTGAGCCTCAACTGATCTTGAATCTGGCCGCAGATCATTTGGTGACTAACCTTGGCTTTTGAGAAACCTTTCTTCTTCGCCGATTCGTCTACGTAGAACATTGAGCAATGATCCGAAATACAATGCGAAGATGGTGCATGTGATCGTGATTACGTTGTAAGGCATGCTAAAATCTGGGGTTGTCAATGGTACGAGCAATACTTCTGTGTAAGAGCGAACTAAAGATTTTTCCTGCAATAGACCAGAAGACAAATGAAAGTATTTTAGTTGAAATAGGTGACAAAGGCAGATAAACTTTCTTTAACCCTTTTGAGTGTTATATCGGTCCTCTACCTTAAAACTTGATAATAAGGGGGATTTGCTGAGCTCTTCTTGGAAATCTAAACTAGCATGATGATTGGGGAAGCTTATCAGAGCCGATGGAATGTCGAATCCTTGATTAGCATCAGGAGGATATTCATCTATATGTAGAAAACCCTGTTGAGAAATTTTCAGACACAGATTAGTGCACCACAAACAGTATTCAGACACTCGAGATCAATCAATTTGACAATCAGATTATGCTAGGTGAATTGGAAAGTATGGAGAACGAAAGATCACCTTATCATATTCGATTGATATGGCTACAGATTTCACTTCACATGGTAGTTCCAGCATCATCTCCATCATGCCAGATGACACCTTATCCGTAGATGGGGAGACATTGATCTTCTTTAAGACCTCACTGTCTGTCGTCTGTTGTTGGTCAACAAAGATTTGTAGACTATGATAATAAACCTTAATATACCATGGGAAAATCTGGAAAATGTTTGCTTTTATTGTACAGTGGCCATTAGTGAGATCTCTGCCTGATAACTTCTCCTGAGATTCTGTCGCTTTTAACAAGATGGCTATTGCACCCCTCTCGTTCCCGCTTCCCATCAAAAACCGACTTGCGTGTAATGGAGCTTGTTGACATGACCACTTTGAGGGAAGCTTCCAAGTAAGGCCAAGATCAAATGGCTCGCTGTCACTTGATTTGTCAATATCAAAGATAAAAAGAAAGCTGCTGCTTTCTCGAAGAACCCTCTCTGGCTTAAGAGATAATTCAAACTCTGCATTCTTCCAGAGTTCGTGTGCTTCTATTTCTGTATCCACGTTCTTTAATTCGTGACCAAGAAGACCCTCCAATTGAAGATACACATTACTTGACTTTGCAAGAACACATCTCCCAACTACTTTTCGCCCAAAGAGGGAGCTGATGGACCAACTTGGCTGCATATTTGATTCAACAGAAGTAGTCTCAGGCTGAAGAACAACAGTAAGAGTCTGCTCCAGCACTATGCCAGAAGCCAATCCCTCTTGACCAGACTCAACCGTGGATAAATGCAATCTCTGAGAATGATAAAACCCTCTGTAAACAGATGGCCTATTCATTAACGCAGAAATGCCATCCTTGTCTCTACACGGAAGCAACTTTAGCCATGGGGTCAAGTTCTCAGTACAAACAGCTTCCCGTGGCAGTGAACCATACCTCAGCTTATCCGAATTTGGCCCAAACCCCCATGTAGGAGCAGCATATGAAGTGGAAGATTCAAGAAAGTTGATGGAAGCACAGAAAAGCCCTGACAGTGCGTGTGTTAAGTTCTTCCAAGAAGTATCAACCTGAGACTGAGGAACATCAAACACAGCCCAAAGCTCCACCCCAACAGGCTTTGCGTTCATACTTGATAGAGGGTCAAATCCTCCCCAATGTTCATGATTCCAACGACCCTGAGTAAAAGATAACTCCATCTCCTTGACCCGGAATTTCTGAACCTGTTTCAGAGATTACATATAAGCATAACACTTAGACTTAAACAGGTAAACAAGTCACTAAACAAGATAATTTGGACCACTTTGTACATTCAATTAGAATCTTCACCTAAGATCTTAAACCTCCGTTTTTCAAATTGCAAAGGATCAAAGATAAGGACACAGCTAATTTGAGATGACCTAATTGCATCCCAACTAAAATAAGAAAAAGTGTCTCCCTAATTGCTAATCTCAGTTCACATTATGGGGAAAACAAAGAGGTTATTTACCAACTGAGAAATAGCTTTCGGGAAGAGATGGTGATGGCGGCCATGGGAATTTGAAGGAGGAGCTCGGTTTTCGAAATGGAAGTGAGCTAAAACCTTTCGATCAGGCAAAGGCTTCAAGAGCAATGCCTCGCTGAATTCTTCAACTTCGTTCGACCCAAAAGCGATCGCAAACAAAAACGATTGCACAATTAACAAAAGGATTAAGGATCGAAGAAGGCTAGCCATAATCGGAACGCCGGAGTAGGTCACTGACTTGTGTTACCGCGGATCGAGCATTACAGAGTATTAACGCTGAGCTCCGGCGAAGAACGATAACGAATCAAGTGATGACCAAAATCGGAGTCTGGTTTACTCTCGGTTTGGGATCTGTGAGTTTGTGATTTTCGGTTTGGTCTGGTTTACTCTCGGTTTGATATTTTAATGGGATTGTAGGCGAGTGGGCTTCGAAAGGTTTGGGCTTCGTCCAGTTTGCCAAACAAAATCTTTGACTCTTCGTAATCAGTCACAAGCATTTAACTGGATATGAAAGAATTCAAATTTCTATATAGAAATTTATGTTGTATTATTGTATACTAGGGGAGGTCCCCGCGCCCGGCGCGGGGTTATATGTTGATTAAAACCAGATTTAGTCATTTAGGGTTATAAGTTTTAGACAATTATTGATTTAATTTTGTCAAGAGTATAGTTTTTATAACGACATTAATATAGAATTATGGTAAAACGCCATAACGTTTGATATATTATTGCGAGAAAATAGTGATTATTATCCTCTGAATATAGTAAAATGCAAAACAGAAAACTAAAATCATTAGAACCAGAAAGTATAAATTTAGTAGTCTTGGTTTGCTCATCAACAACCAAAGATAATCAAAAGATCAAAATTGGATGTGTGACATTTGTCCTTTCTTCTTGTTGGAAAAGATATCTCGCATCCTCGTTACATCATGACAAGAATGATTGAATAGAATCTGCGAACACTTGTATGAAGCAGTACCTCTTCGTGTACCTTAATTATCAAAGGAATATAGTTTCAATGTCTCAAACCCCAAAAATACATGTTAAATAACAAAACCAAAACAAAATACTTTCACTCATTTCAGTTCTTGCAAATCTGAATATACATATGGTAATGTCATCAATACATTGCCTCCACTCAGCGAAAAATTTATTGACATAAAACCACGGTAGTCGACACCGGAGACGCTCACAACTACAAACAACAGAAATTTCGAAGGTACCAATAGTTCTTGACTTCGAATTTAATAATGTGACAATGAAAATAATGTGACATCGACAATATTATGTTAACTTACAAAATCCTTCAATTTTTACAAGACATTGAAGTTTAAAGATTATGTTCATTTGGAAACTCCTTCCATTATCCTAAAGATATTGATGTCAAAACTCTTACGTTAATTTTGATATCATGCTCTTCCTCTCCAGACTATTTTAAATAATTGCCCACTCGTCAATGACTGGCTTCTTGGGAGCAAATTCAATCTGATGAGTGTTGTTTTTGTACTTTTGTAACAGAGTATGGGATCACCTCCTGCTCCTCTGTGAGATCTTTCGAGGTATGGAATTTGGTTTTCTCTAGGATTTATCCTCGACAAAGATTGTTTTGATTTTGGACTGAGATACTTCTTGGACCGACACTCTTCTACCCATGAGATACTTAAATAATTGTCAACTCGTCAAAGATTGGGTTCTTGGGAGCAAATTCAATTAAATGAGTGTTGTCTATGCACTTTTTCAGCGGAGTCTCGGGATCACCTCATGCTCCTCTGTGAGCTCTTCCTAGGTGTGGAATTTAGTTTTCGCTAGGCTTTATCCTCGACAAAGGTTGTTTTGCTCCTGGACTAAGCTACTTTCTTGGATCCGGCACTCTTTCTCTCTAGAGTCACTTAAATAATTGCCGACTCGTAAAAGACTGGCTTCTTGGGGACAAATTTAATCCGATGAGTGTTGTCTTTGTACTTTTGTAACGGAGTCCCGAGATCACCTCTTGCTCCTCTGTGAGCTCTTCCCAGGTGTGAAATTTAGTTTTCTATAGGTTTTTTCCTCGACAAAGGTTGTTTTGCTCTTGGCCTGAGCTACTTTCATGGACCGTCGAGAGTCACTTAAATAATTGCCCACTCATCAAAGACTGGCTTCTTGGGGCCAAGTGCTGTATTTTCACTTTTGCAACAGAGTCTCGGGATCACCTCGTGTTCTTCTGTGAGATTTTTCAAGGTGTGGAATTTGGTTTTCTCTAGGATTTATCCTCCACAAAGGTTGTTTTGCTCTTGGGTTGAGCTACTTTTTGGCACCTGACGCTCTTTTTCTGTTGAGACACTTAAATAAATCTCGCTCCAATCGTCCTCTTCAGTCGTTAAAGACTGGTTTCCTGGGGACAAATTCAATTCGAGGAGTGTTGTCTACGCACTTTTGCAACGGAGTCTCAGGATCACCTCATGCTCCTCTGTGAGCTCTTTCGAGGTGGGAAATTTGATTTTCTCTAGGCCTTATCCTTAACAAAGGTTGTTTTAATCTTAGGATGAGCTACTTTATTGGACCCAACGCTCTTCCTCTCCTTACACTTTTAAATAATTGCCGACTCGTAAAAGACTGGCTTCTAGGAGATAAATTCAATCCGATGAGTGTTGTCTTTGTACTTTTGCAACAGAGTCTCGAGATCACCTCTTGCTCCTCTGTGAGCTCTTCCCAGGTGTGTAATTTAGTTTTCTCTAGGCTTTGTCCTCGAGAAAGGTTGTTTTGCTCTTGGCTTGAGCTACTTTCTTGAACCGTCGAGAGTCACTTAAATAATTGTCCACTCATCAAAGACTGGCTTCTTGGGGGCAAGTGTTGTATTTGCACTTTTGCAACGGAGTCTCGGGATCACCTCGTGTTCCTCTGTGAGCTTTTTCAAGGTGTGGAATTTGGTTTTCTCTAGGATTTATCCTCCACAAAGGTTGTTTTGCTCTTGGGTTGAGCTACTTTCTGGCACCTGACGCTCTTCTTCTATTGAGACACTTAAATAAATCTCCAATCATCCTCTCTAGTCGTTAAAGACTGGTTTCCTAAGGAAAAATTCAATCCGATGAGTGTTGTCTATGCACTTTTGCTACGGAGTCTCAGGATCACATCCTGCTCCTCTATGAGCTTTTCTGAGGTGGGAAATTTGATTTTCTCTAGGCCTTATCCTCAACAAAGGTTGTTATACTCTTGGGCTGAGCTACTTTATTGGACCCAACGCTCTTCCTCTCCTTACACTTTTAAAGAATTGCCCACTCATCAAAGACTGACTTCTTGGGAACAAATTCAATCTGATGAGTGTTGTCTTTACACTTTTGCAACAGAGTCTCGGTATCACCTCATGCTCCTCTATGAGCTCTTCCCAGGTGTGGAATTTAGTTTTCTCTAGGCTTTGTTCTCGACAAAAGTTGTTTTGCTCTTAGGCTGAGTTACTTTCTTTGTCCTAACGCTCTTCCTCTCCAGAGTCACTTAAATAATTGCCCACTCGTCAAAGACTGGCTTCTTGAGGACAAATTCAATCTGATGAGTGTCGTCTTTGCATTTTTGTAACGAAGTCTCATGATCACCTTCTGCTCCTTTGTGAGCTCTTTCCAGGTGTGGAATTTAGTTTTCTCTAGGATTTTTCCAAAACAAAGGTTGTTTTGCTTTTGGATTGAGCTATTTTCTTGGACCTGACGCTCTTCCAGTCATGTGCCTTCTTTGCTTAGAAAAGTAGCATCTCAAGTGGTGGTTTATAAGTTCTGGCGACAGCGTAATAACATTCTCCATAACTCCTTGCGGCTTGCTGCTCAACTCATTTTCAAGATGGTGGAGTGGAGCTATGAAACATCATCACTTCGAGATGAACAAAGCTTATGCTTATTTGGATTCGTTATCTATTTCCAAATCTTTCTTTACTCTACTGTAGTCTTGTTTTTATCTCTTTTTTTGCCAAGGTTGCTTTTGTGTAATTATTTATCTTTTGTAAAGCCTCAAACTTCATTTTAGATCATATTTACATGTTTAGGAAAAAAATAATTCGGAAAAATGGAAACAAAAAAAATAGATAAGCTTAGTAACTAATAAAAATTTCTGTGATCCTTAGCACAAAACAACTCTGCATTCCTGCAACTTTCAGCACACATATTTTTAGCATCATTCGGGTGCCATTGCAAACAATAGTAGCCAAAACCATAAGAAACAATATCATAAAAACGTGATCGACTAATAAATATTCAGAAATTATATATACATGAAAAACAACAATATTCGAATACCTCGAGTGACTTCTATTCTAGTGAATGTCATGATAAATATGGTGATATTATCACATTGTTTACTTCGTTCTCTCAAAAATTTACAACAGTATCCACCATGTAGTCGACATTATAGACGTAAATTTATTATAAAATTAAGTTTTTAGCATACTACCCAAATTAAACTATAACAAATCTAATTTTGATTAAATTAATAACTTACAATTCATCTTCTAATTCCACATAAACTTGATCCCACACTTTATTATTGGTTTTCCGTCTTCAATATTGCTAACACTCACGACCCAACCAATTAAATATAATTATTTAAATTAATAGATCAAACCATAACAATGCAAAGAATAAAATATCCAAACAAAAGATATTATGGGACCAGGGAAATAAACATACTCAAAATTAAGTATCAATTTTCCTAAAAGATGCGAATGCGCAGTAATCAATCGCACCCAAGGAAGGTATATGTGAAACAAAGATTGATAAATTCCAATGAATTTTAAAATCATAAAAAGTATGACTAAGCAAACCGATAACATGAATCAAAATCTCTAAGTGTTATCCATCCAGGGCCTGCCCTGAGATTTGAAGGGCCAAATACTCAAAAAAAAGTTTTTGGTTATTTTGAAAGGTTTTAAAATTTAGGGCCAATTATAGTAAAATAAATAAAATTAGGTCTGTTTCATAAATAATTTTTGTTGAAGAATTTCAGAAACAAAATTTGGGTTACATCAAAAGTTTCTTGTTGATGTCTATAGGGCCGGCCATGTATCTATCGTCCTTGGAAAAACCTGAATCCACGATGACGATAATACTCTCTATCAATTATAGTATGTATGTCGTGACCCTAACAAACAAAATAAAATTGTTAAAGGTATAGCAATCTTTCAGCAAACAATTTATTTTATTAGAAAAACCAAAAATCTGTATAACCTCTGTATCAGTATAAGTTGGAACATATCGTCCAAGATCGAAGAACACTTAAACCTATTAAGTATCTATACTCAGATACTTTGATTTTACAAGGGAGCACTGAAGGGTGCAGATATGACACTCATGCTACGATAAAATCTTTCAAAGCATTTCTTGCTCATCTTCGGGGTTTTGTCCCATATTACGAGCCTAGCTAATCTAATCAAATATACATGATGAGAATATGTCTTTATCAAGTAAGTAGTGGATTGATTAGGGTTAAGTGGTATACCAAACCTCCTTAATTAAGACTCTTGGTCTCTTAGTCTCTGTTTCTATACCCTCTGTTTTACCTCTTTGTAAAAGAAGAATCTAGATTATTCCACTTCATGACGTATTAATTAAATTTTCCAACATACTATTTTTACATTTCACTGAATCGTTTGCTTCGCGGAACAGTTTCTTTCAAACATTGAGAAAAAAAATCATCATTATTTGATGTTCTAAAACTGAACAACAGAGCAGATGCAGGTATATCATGGATATTGAGGCTTAGAGTTGATACAAAGTTGTTTCTGAAAGATTTACCTTGCTTTGATTTTAGTCTTTTCTCTCTGTCACATTTCCCCTTAGCACTGTCTGTTTTCTAGAAGTAGCAGACACAGTCAAAGGTGTCTGTTTCCTTTGAGCGTCAGAGCATAATCATTTCCCTACAACCCATGCGATACAATAATTAGCATTTTTCATCTATAGTATCATGTCTGATAATCAATACCTTAATGGGATTGCTTTCAATACATGTAGGAGATATGTTTTTCCGCAATTTCTTGCTCCGTGGGCGATGACATTAGCATCTTTACCCTCAAAGACAGTAGAGATAAGAGGCTTTATCTCCTTTGATAGAATTAAACCTGTGATTCTGTTTTTTTTGTAGCAATAGTCCAATTTATATGAATCTTTCGAACTGCCACAACACAATAGTTAATATGGCTTGAAACGTTGCTAATCCACAACACTGTGAAAGATTTAACTCAAAACTCAAAAGTATATTCTACTCGGTGAGAACATTTTTGTAAAATTAGAAAATCGATAAATTAAAGATAAAAGATCAATTGAAACATCACCTGAATCTTCTTCATGCATCGTGGTTGCTTTCATTCATCCAAAACATACAATCGTTTAAAAAAACAAACACTATTAGAATTTATAGTAACGAAAATAATATGTATAGCCAAAAAACAAGAAGATGAGCATACCAAGGCTCCTCGGAGGCAACGATTGGTGTCTGAAAATTTTAGCAGCGTTGTGCCTCTTGTTGGTTGGAATTGGAACACCAGCTGGTGTATAAGGATCACACATAACCTGCATGTATCAATAATCAATAATTTCATGGATCTGATATAGTTCCAATTGAATTTGGTACACTAATCAGATAAAACAAACCATGAATTTGGTACACCAGCCTTTATTGAAGTTTAATATAATAATTGATGATTAAGCGTTACATAGATGGATAAAGACGTGACAAAAAAAAAAGATAGATAAAAGCAAGCTTTACGTTTTTACACGCCTTGATTCAAGGCAAGACACCGAAACACCCCGTGAAACAAACCATGTTCATACCTAAATGAAAAATCCATAAAGAGATCATTATTTAAAAAAAGAGATAAAACTTCTGATCGCATCAATACAAAGAAATAATAATAATTGAGACTCCTGGTGAAAGATAATCAGAGAGAAGCAAGAGAAAAAGAAGAGTTCCCAACGATTATAGTCTATTGGGGTTGTTGAGAGGCCGTAATTTGCATCATGATGGAACCAGTAATCAAACTGATATCAAATTATGTAAATACAAAATCAAAGCTTCTTTTTTTTTTAGTGAAGAATATGGTAAATATAAAATCAAAGTTTCTTTTTTTTTTAGTGAAGAATATGAAATCTAAGCTGCTCGCAAAATATTATGGGAAAGCTTATAGAATTCTCAATACACCAAACATAATTTAAATATTAAACATGAAAGTACTAAAGTGAAAAACTCACCATATGTTCGATTGAATCAACAATTTAATTGTCCTGGAATTGTTTAACGACGTTGCATCCGTAACCTATAACAATACATAAACACCATGAATTCATATGTGTAAAGCCAAATAAAATAAAACGCAAAAAAAAAAAAAAAGCAAAAAAAATGGGGTTAGTTATGATTTGAAAGTGAAACCTACAGAAGGTATTTATATTAAACTGAAAGGCGGTGTACGATCTAATTTTTTTAATTTTTGAAGATAATTACAACAACAAGAAATGAAGATTTATATATTGTGTTAGATCAAATCTTTATCAAAACAATTAATATTCCTAAAAACAATTAATAACTACTATGGATATTAATTATAAAAAAATATTCCTTATTTTATTTGTTAAAAAATGGAACAATAACATAATTTTTTTTAGATTTACAATTATATTTGACATTTATTTAGATACACCATCATTATCGGTATAAAATATAAAAGAAAGTTTCTTTTATTTTATCAGATTTGTGAATTTAAAGAATATATGATAGTTGTTTTGATATTATCGGCAATATCTATATATTTTAGAAAAGTAAATTTTACTTTTAAAAACAATTGGCTTGTAATTATCACAACATAAATTTACCATTAATATATCAAAAATATAATTAAACGATTAATTATGAGACACATCCTTTGTTGAAAAAAAAAAGAACCAAAAAGGAAAAAAAAACACGGAAAAGGAAGAGAAAATAAGAAGACACGACCAATCCTTTCTCCGACGTAATTGTATGTGACTCACGACCATGATTAGATTGGTGGAGATTAATCATTGGATGTTCTTGGTCGAACGATAAACCGTCATAAAAAAGGTATGTAAACTACATTTGATCCAAATTTATTTATTTTTTCATTTTTTCGTGTTTAAGAATATTACTATTTTTTTAAATGTAAAATATATCGAATTTTTATATTTTAGGGTCAGTTAATTTTTTAATTTTAATTAATATTCGAATTAATTTAATAGAAGGTATTTAAGTAATTACGCAAAATCAAGGGCTCAACAAGAGCCGAGAGTCCGACACGTCAGCAAAAACACTTCTCAAATATTGTTATTATAGATATAGTATACTTTGATTTTGGATCTATACAATGAAATTTAAATTGAGATTTACATATCATAAAGGAATTACGAATACCACCATGTTGTGAGAACGTAATAAAAATTAATGATCGAGTAACAACACTAAGCTTACTTAAATATGCAATAAACTAGGACCTGCATGCTACTCCAATAAAAAATATAATCGTATTGGGAAGGGAGACTAGGAAATATCCACTATCTAAAAAATTACAAAGCAGAAATGCACAAAACATTATGGTTAGATTTCTCCACTATCCAAGATAGATCAGAATACTAATTCATAAAACCAAAAACGTCACGGTATCCTCGGCTGCACGTAATTTATCGAAGATTGGAATAGTACTATATACTACATACACAGAAAACTATATTATCATTAAATCCCTTAATAATTATTGATCTTAAGAAACTTATAATCAGTAGAGAGAGTCATGATTAGTTTAACGATAATGACTATTTAATCGGGCACAAGTTTCCAAAAATACCCCTACGACAACATTAAAAAAATTACAAAAAGCCGAAACCCGCCCACCACAATGAAAAGCTCCGCCACCACTACCAGTGGCGGAGCCAGAATTTTTGTTTATAGGGGTCATATATATTATTATTTTTATTTAATTACATATTAATATTAAATAATATATTTTATCTTGATTTATGATATTTTATAGAAATATATGTCAAAACAATTTTGAGAAAAAGAACGAAAAAAACAAGATATCCGATGATACAAAGAAAAAGAATCAATATGTAAAAAAACTATTAGAGAATTGTAATCATTTTTTAGGAAAAAACAAAACAAACATAGAAAGAAAATTAATGTTGAATGAAAAATTAAATATGAATGGGGTCAAAGACATAAAATTATGGCATGACATAGGGGTCAACTAGAAAATTTTGTACCAAAATATCTAAAATCATTAGATAATTTACCTTATAATTTCAAAACTTTAAAATGTTATGGGGTCAACTGACCCCCTCCCTCTTAATTGGCTCCGCCCCTGACCACCACTCTGTGGAAACGATGACGTTTTTACTACTTCTGCTCTTCTGCTTTCTCTCGCCGGCAATCTTCTTCGCCGACTCTATCCCTTCAACGTTGGACGGACCGTTCGTTCCGGTGACGGTGCCGTTAGACACCTCTCTCCGGGGAAAAGCCATCGATTTACCCGATACCGATCCTCGCGTCCGCCGCCGTGTCACCGGTTTCGAGCCGGAGCAAATCTCTCTCTCCCTCTCCTCCGATCATGATTCCATCTGGGTCTCTTGGATCACAGGTTCATTTTACTACCTTCCTTTAATCGACTTTATTATTTACTGAAAACTACGTGATTCTTGGCTAATGACGTAATTTGCAATCCTCTTCAATTCAATTCTATATTTATTTTTTTAACTTCTTCCTTTTAAAGAACTGTATTATATCATGTAATAAATGCTAACTCTGACATAAGAGGAAGAATCTTATCCTCAACTCTTTTTTAGTTACTTCAACCAAAAGTTAGGATCTTGTGACTTGATGAAAGCTGGTAATAATAAATACTTATAAGATAATTTGGTTTGTTTTTTCTTAAGAAAATGTTGTTTTTGAAAGGTGAGTTCCAAATCGGAAAGAAGGTGAAGCCATTAGATCCGACAAGTATCAAGAGTGTTGTCCAATTCGGGACCTTGAGGCACTCACTGAGTCATGAAGCTAAAGGACATTCACTTGTTTATAGTCAACTTTACCCTTTCGACGGTCTCCTTAATTACACTTCTGGAATCATACACCATGTTCGCATTACAGGTTCATCTTCTTTTTTTTCTTTTTTTCATTTTAGCTATATATATGCCTCGATTCTTGATTATGGACTGGAATCTGAAACGCAGGGCTGAAACCAAGTACTATATATTACTATCGATGTGGAGATCCTTCAAGACGGGCTATGAGTAAGATACACCATTTCAGGACAATGCCTGTTTCTAGTCCCTCAAGTTATCCTGGTCGAATAGCGGTTGTGGGTGATCTTGGTCTCACTTATAACACAACTGATACAATTAGTCACTTGATTCATAATTCTCCGGATCTTGTTTTATTGATCGGCGATGTGAGTTATGCAAACTTGTATCTAACAAACGGGACTAGCTCCGATTGTTATTCTTGCTCTTTCCCTGAGACACCTATACATGAGACGTATCAGCCACGTTGGGACTACTGGGGTAGGTTTATGGAGAATCTGACTTCTAAAGTTCCTTTGATGGTCATTGAAGGGAACCATGAGATCGAATTGCAAGCCGAGAACAAGACCTTTGAAGCTTATAGTTCAAGATTCGCTTTCCCTTTTAAAGAAAGCGGCTCTTCTTCTACGCTCTATTATTCTTTTAACGCTGGCGGGATTCACTTTGTCATGCTCGGTGCCTACATTGCTTATGACAAATCAGGTTTAATATTTCTCAAACTCTGACCTCTAGATTTACTGTTTGCACTCTCTTTTAACAACTTTTTGTCTTGTATTTTGCAGCGGAACAATACGAGTGGTTAAAGAAAGATTTGGCTAAAGTGGATAGATCGGTAACTCCATGGTTAGTAGCTTCTTGGCATCCACCTTGGTATAGTTCTTATACAGCGCATTACAGAGAAGCAGAATGTATGAAAGAAGCTATGGAGGAATTACTTTACTCTTATGGTATTGACATTGTCTTTAACGGACATGTAAGACCCGACCCAAAAAAGCTGTGTCTCTTATCTTTGTCTTTTTGCAATGATTGACCGTTTTTGCTTTCTTGTGAAAACTTTTCTCCAGGTTCATGCTTATGAACGTTCGAACAGAGTTTACAATTACGAACTGGACCCGTGTGGTCCGGTTTACATTGTGGTTGGTGATGGAGGTAACCGTGAAAAGATGGCGATTGAGCACGCCGATGAACCCGGTAAATGTCCTGAGCCGTTAACCACGCCGGATCCAGTCATGGGTGGGTTTTGCGCGTGGAACTTCACCCCGTCTGGTAAATTCTGTTGGGATCGGCAACCTGATTATAGTGCCATGAGAGAAAGCAGCTTTGGCCATGGAATCCTAGAGGTACTGTTTCATTTGTCTCGTAAACGCATAAAAACAGAGGTTAGCGTTAAGTCTAATTGAAAAAAAAAATGATTATGTAGATGAAGAACGAGACATGGGCACTATGGACATGGTATAGGAATCAAGACTCGAGCAGTCAAGTCGGAGATCAGATTTACATTGTCAGACAACCTGATCGATGTCCGCTTCACCACCGCCTTGTTAACCATTGTTAAGCTCAAAGTTCAAACAGAGATGGTCTAATAAAAGATTTAGGACTTTGATCATGTAACAGTTTCTCCCAAGAAAAATAAAAGTTTAAAAATTTCTCCAAAAATAAACAAAAAGTTTCAAAATTAGTTTCTAAAAGATCTCAAGGAACTCGAGGACGAAGCTGCTGCAAACAGGACAGTGACCTTTCTGAGCCATAAGCTCTTTAGAACAGAGCTTACAAAACGTGTGACCACAAGGTGTAAAAGAAGCGCCTTTGATTTTCACCATGCAAACGCAGCAACTAAGCTCACCTTCTCCTCCTCCTTGACCATCTCCTTCTTCTTCGTAATTCTCATCTTCTTCGTCTTCTTCGTACTCTTCATCTTCATCCATGGCGTATCTCGATCCTGTTAATCCCATTTGTCGATCTGTTTCTTCCAACAGATCCATCAGAGACATCGTCTGTTTCGGTTCAGAACCTGAAGATGATTTTCTCTCCTCTGTTTCTCCTGAATCATCCTCTTCGTCATCGTCATCTTCGTCTTCGCTTCCTCCAGCCGCCGCCGCTTCAGCTTCCGCCGCTTCTTGAGCAGCAACCGCTTCTCTCGCCGACATTTGCCTCTCTTCCACGAACGTGACGATCGGATGACGTCGTCTGTTATCTTCTTCGCCGTCACTGTGATCTCTAACGGAATCGTGCCGTGATAACTGCGGCTTAAAACTCCTAGACGGTGGTCCATCTCCAAGAACGCTGATGTCAGGCGAATCGTCCGGGTTTTTGCTCGACCCGACCCGCATTGATGATCCGCGTGTGAACATAGCGCGTCCTGAAGAACCAGGTGGATCAGACATCGGTATAGCGTGAACCAGATCTCGGATGTTTAAACCGGCGGAGTGTGATCGGAACGCTGTTCCAAGGTGTTTGGGATTAGGGATAAGAATATCCGAAGCAGGGATATGAAGAGACGAGGTCCAAGCAGAACCGGTTCGTTTGAGACGGAGTTTCTCACGGAAAATCTGCCACGTGGTACGATCTTTGTGCCCTTCTTTGGCGTATTCCTCACGTATGATATCAAAAAGCGTTTGGCTTGTTGCGCGGTGCGGTACAAGAGATTTTGATGGTAAAGGTGGTGGCGATGGGGGAGATGACGGTTGTATAACGATCTCGCCGCCAAGCACAGCGTCTAGACTTAGTCCAGCTAACGAGTTACTACGGCTCTTTAACGCCGACATTTAACTCCATGCATCGAAATGTTACCTCTTGCATCGATTTAGAGAGTGGGAAACATCGCATTTGCTTATTGGAAATTTAAGAAGAAAATTGTGATTTGCGTATTTTGCAAATGGATAGAAAAAAAATGGTAGAAAATTTGGAATTGTGTTTTAACTTTTTTATCATGTAAATTTTGCTTTTTTGTTTTGTTTACCTCCTTAAATTGAAAGAAAACTTGTGGGTAAAAGTGTTTTGGAATGGAGAAGAAAGAGTAAGGAAGAACGAGTCTTTAGGTGAAATAGAATGATCTAAATTAAGGATTACCCTATAATCTTTTTGTGGAAGGTAGAAAGTTCTTTTTCAATATTTTATTTTTGATGATCAAAATGTACTTCAAGGTTTTTTTTTTTTTTGGTATGAAAATGTAATTCAAGGTTTATAACACAAGTAACCGGTTTTAATTAGGTTTGTGGAGATGGACGCAACACACTTGGCAAAGGAAAGTAAAGAAGTGATAGAGAACTGTTATGAACTTATATAACCCAAGAAATTAGAACAATCGTGGATTGCATATCTGTGAGAAATAGGATGCTTGATTAGATGCTTGGTGATCACACAATACAAGATTTTGAAACCTTACTTGGCTCCTCTGCTCATCATACTAACATTTAACACTTCGTCACTCCCAGTTAATTATATAGCCTCTTCATATTTGACACATAACAAAACGTGCTTTTACTTTTTACTGTTTACTATGACCATTTCATTAGAATCCAAGAATGGTCAAAATTAAGTTCTTCTGAGATATATGTATTAACATATAAGTTGTATTAACAAAACAGTCAATATGTCCGAGTGGTTAAGGAGACAGACTTGAAATCTGTTGGGCTTCGCCCGCGCAGGTTCGAACCCTGCTGTTGACGAAAACCTTTTTAAATTTTTTTTACTCAACCTGGCCACACAAAACAAACTACCAGATCCATCACATTACACTTGCCTTCGCATACATAACCCAAGTATTAGCGATAATCAAACCCTCTAGGTTCTTTAACACCAGCATGAAACTGATCCAATTCAGAGGTGATACGTGCAGAAAAAAACTAAAACCACGCAACGGTTGGGAGGAGCATATGATCATGATGTTGATCTCTGATATAGTCAAACATGTTATTGCACATGCTCAAACATGGAAAGAAAAAACTCAAGGAATAAACTAAAGTCGAAACTTACGAAAAAACAAAGTCAAAATCGCATACAACAGAACTTCGTAAGATGATAGTATAATGTCGGAGCAAAACTTGAGGAAACATTCAAAAACGATAAACCGATAGAATTCAGTACTTGACTGGTGCAAGAACTTCCAATTGAGATCCAAGTTTCTCTTCAGCAACCTTCTCGGCCTTGGCTCTGAGTTTGTTAAGTTGTTTCTTTCTTTCATAAACAACTTGAGCTCTTTCCTTTCTCTTGTTCTCCAGCTCCTGCTCATTTTTATCAAACACACATTCATAGCTTATGATCCCTCGTTCTAACTTAAACATGAGCGTATCTATGATATCCTAAAACAACAAATTCATGCGGTGTATGGATATCATTGCTATAATACACACAGGACAAGAACTTGTGTTCTTAATAGCTTTTCATGCAATATGCAAATCAGCTTATGCCCAAAAAGGTCCAGATCAATAAAAAGCGAAGTGAATCATACCTTGATGGTGTCGTAGTGGTTCCATCCGACTTCAGAAGAAAGGCGACCCAACAGACAATATTTGTGGCCAGCCTGCAGCCTCAAGACCCTGATCAAAGAGGAAGATTCAACGTTTAAGAGATGGTTACTACATGTAAATAGAGATTAAAGAAACGTAATAAATGAAAATGAAAGAGTAAAAGGACAAACTTGAGAGCATCAGGAATGACCATCCTCTTGATCTTGTCATATGGAGTAGGAACTCCTTCAAAGACCTTCAAGCGGGCTAGTGCATTAGCTCCACGCTTAGTCTTGTGTGGAATCATACTGCCACCAAATAAAAACTCTTGTAAGTTAGCCAAAAATATTTCCAACAACAAATCCACATTGAATTTGACCCATTTCAATTTCCAACTTCTATAAAACTACAAAACCATCAAAGTGGATTCTCTACTATTGACACCAATCCTAGAGCAATTTTCAATGAAATCATATTTTTATTAGCTACATTATTCACAGTACTAAATAAGTAATATCGTTGCTCGAATCACTAGCTAAAAATAATAAAAACAGAGAGAGAGAGAGATGTAACGAACCCGCGAACGGTACGCCAGAAGATCTTGGAGGGAGCACGGAAGTGAATAGGTCCGTGAGAAGGTTTAGTGTTCATACGCTTGCGGAGAAACCTCATGTACTTCATCTTCTGACGAACAAGTCCACCGGAGAGACAAATCTCCTCGCAACGGACAACCACAACTTTCTGGCCATTGAGAAGCTCCTTTGCCACAATCGAGGACAGGCGACCTAGCATGTGGTGACGAGCATCAACCACCACGCGCTTCGCGCAAATTCCTGATCCAGACACCATTTTCACTCAGCTCTGATCAGCCGCAAGCTTACTTCTCCGGGGTGATTAAAAGTGAGCAGCGTTTTGAAATTAGGGTTTTGCGGTGTCCTTTTGCATCATTTTATTGGGCCGTGATAATTGTCTGTTGGGTTATGTAGTTTAAGATAATCAGGCCCATCTTTTCTCTCTATAGGGTGAAGCAGATAGTAAATAATATAAACTATAGGGGTTCAATTGTGAAAGTAGAAAAGAAGAAGAAGAAAAAGATACACTTCACTTACGTGCGTTTGTGTGACAACAACAAGACAAGCGTGGATTCTGGAACTCATACGATAGGAACGGTTGATGATAGAGGCATAGAGCCAATCTCAAGTCTCAACATAAAAAAGCATTCTTCTTTCCCTGAAATTTTAGACACAACAACCTTGGAAAAATCTATAATCAGAGATGGCCGGAAATGGAAAAGTTTTAAACTTGTCGGAGCTTTCCCAGCACAGTAGCCGGCATGATTGTTGGCTCCTAATCGAAGGAAAGGTCCTCAAAACATTCTCTTTACCTTTTTGTTATGTATCTTAGTTTTGTTGGAACTTCGATTTAGTCGAGTTTTAGTTTGTGTTAATTGCGAGAAACAGGTCTATGATGTGACAGAGTTCTTGAAGGACCATCCTGGTGGAGATGATGTACTCTTGTCTGCTACAGGTGATAAATGCTAAATATCTCTTGATGATATTATGGTAGTGAAGACTAGAGAATTCTTTAAGTGATGAAACATGTTTTGTACTAATTTAGGGAAAGATGCGACGCATGAGTTTGAAGAAGTGGGTCACAGTTCATCTGCAAAAGTCATGTTAAGTGAGTTTTATGTGGGTGACATAGACTCTACCAAGGCCAGTGATGATATTGCTACTACTGCTACCCCGAATCAGACCGAGCAAAATCAAGATAACAGGAGCTTTGATTTGTGGTTGATTAAGCTCTTTCAGTTTCTTGTTCCTCTTCTCATCTTTGTTTTGGCTCTTGGTGTTCGATTCTACATCAAAACTCCATCATTTCCATGAAAATCGATTTGTGGTTTGGGGGAAATCAAGATATCTGTGGACTATGGTTAACATTATTTGCTTTTTATCTCTCTCTGTATTATTGTTCTGTATAAGAAGACATCATTTAAAATCATAAAATTAATTATGGAAGTTTTTAATCAGAATTTTTGTATGGAAGTGGCATTGCCTTAGTTCCTTCGAAAATATGCAGAATTGGTTTTAGTCATGCATTATACTCATACTGATTTTTGGGATAGTTTTAGCATGATCTGTATGCACAATAAATCGATAAAATATTTGGCAGAGTTTATCAATGAATTCCTCATTAATTTTTAGAAAAGGTTTTTTTTATTGTACAAGTACAACTATAACTTTTTTCATTATAGAACTGATAATATGTATTTGTAGAAATTTATTAATTCATTCCGAAAAACATAATCAGAAAGAGTTAGTATTAGTTTTGTTTAACTGTTAGTATTAATTTTGTTTTTTGGCTTATAATAAATTATAAAAAGGTATTAATGAAATGATATTTATATATTTATTCTTCATCAAAAAGGAAAAAAAAAGGATATTTATAAAAAAATAGTGATAGGACGAAACTGTTAAATGGGCTGCAGAGATATAAAAGTGATAGCCACACTTGGTGGCCCAATAATATATCACATCGTCTCTTTCGCTGCACTTGGTGGTTCTCCAATTCCGTATCGAAAATCTTCTTCAGGTCAGACGATCTGAAGCCGATCGCTGTAGAATCAGTTTCGTGCTGCGCAGTTTCTCGAGTTTCCTCTCACTTAAGGTAGTCTTCGCGCCCTAATCATGTTAGATTGATGTTGATGTTGAATTTTAGCTGATATTCTATGGTTATTATTGATCCAGATCTTTCAGAAGGAAATTCACTTACGGAGAGGGACTTTTTCGTAGAAGATTCTCACTGGATTATCTATCACCTGGTAAGATCGTCTTGCTCGAAAATAATTGAAAAGCTTAGTTATCGAATCAAGGAACTGTGAATCGGAGGGGCTTAGTTTTTGAAGAGATCTAAACCATCGTACAAGATCGTCTCAAATATCTGTTGTTGATCCGAAGGACGAAACAGTGTTTCAGAAGTTACCAATTTTGATTAGATCACTTGAGAAAGCTACGGATTGACAGAGGCGGATCTGTCTAGGTCGGCACTGTGAAAGAGAACTACACTAGTTTTTTTCCAGAGGATATGAAGATTCCGTGAATGAATCTGATTCTAGGTACTCATTGAAGAGAATCTGGGATTGTATTGATCTGGTCTCTTTGCTTCCTGTTTGGCTATAACTTTGACAAGTGTTGTAGGTGATAAGTTGTGATCAATAATGGGTACGGAGAATCAGGGCTATCCAAATTTTCCAGCTAGACCTGCCTCCTCTCCATTCGCATCTGCTCCGCCACCGGGGATTCCTCCTCAATCCGGTGGACCACCCGCTGGATCAGAGGCGGTTGGCTTTAGACCTTTTACACCATCTGCATCCCAACCTACAAGACCTTTCACAGCTTCTGGTCCTCCTCCGGCTCCACCAGTGGGTGCGATGAGGCCTGGCCAGCCTTCTCCTTTTGTTTCTCAGATTCCAGGGAGTAGACCTCCACCGCCATCATCGAATTCGTTTCCTTCTACAGCATATGGTCCTCCTGGTGGTGCCTCTTTTCAGCGTTATCCATCCCCGCAATTCCCGACTACACAAAACCCTCCTCAGGGTCCACCACCACCTCAAACTCTTGCAGGTCACTTATCTCCTCCACCGTCTCTTCGCCCACAGCAACCAATGGCACCTGTAACAATGGGACCTCCTCCACAAAGTATGACTTCTGGGCTACCTGGAGCAAATGCTTCTCCCCCTGCTACAGATTATCATATGCCTGCCAGGCCTGGTTTTCAACAGTCGATGGCTCCAGTTACTCCGTCTTATCCTGGCGTGGGCGGTTCACAGCCATCTTTTCCTGGTTATCCCAGCAAGCAGCAGGCTCCAATGCCATTCCAGACATCTCAAGGTCCCCCGGGACCCCCTCCAGTCTCATCATATCCTCCTCACACAGGAGGTTTTGCTCTGCGCCCAAATATGGTAGCACAGCAGAATCTACATCCAAGCTATGCACCTCCTCCCAGTAACGTACAAGGCTTGACTGAAGATTTTAACTCGCTATCTCTTTCATCTATTCCTGGATCGCTGGAACCAGGACTTGATCATAAATCATTCCCAAGGCCATTGGATGGTGATGTGGAGCCAAGTTCATTTGCTGAAATGTACCCAATGAATTGTCATTCTAGATATCTACGACTGACGACTAGTGCTATACCAAATTCCCAGTCTCTGGCTTCGAGGTGGCATTTACCTCTAGGAGCTGTGGTTTGTCCACTTGCCGAGACTCCTGAAGGGGTTAGTTTCTGTTATTGTTAAACAAGAATGTCTTCTAGATTCTTTCATGTTTTGATTATCTGGGACTCTTCTAGTGCCACATATAACTTTTCCTTTCTTTGCAAATTGTCATTTTATCTGTTCAGGAGGAGGTACCACTTATTGATTTTGGCTCAACCGGCATCATCCGCTGCAGAAGATGCCGTACCTATGTGAATCCTTATGTGACTTTCACAGATTCTGGAAGAAAGTGGCGGTGTAATATATGTTCTATGCTTAATGATGGTAATTTTTCCAAAATTTCTTCTTCCATAAATCATTTGATCGATGATGCTATAACTTCAATACTTTCAGGCATATGTTTATAAGATGATTATTCATAGTTATGGGTTAAATTTCTTTTTCAGTACCTGGTGAATACTTCTCACATTTGGATGCTACTGGCCGAAGAATGGATATGGATCAACGACCTGAGCTGACTAAGGGCAGTGTTGAAATCATTGCTCCAACTGAATACATGGTCCGGCCTCCGATGCCACCTATCTACTTCTTCCTCATTGATGTTTCGATTTCAGCTTCTAAAAGTGGGATGCTTGAGGTAAGCATGATTGATTTGAATATTCCACTTTGTAATTTTGCTGGATATGGGCATTTTTGTGCCATAATTAGTAAGTGCTAATTCTTGTGTGATTTTATCTGAATATACTACGTATTAAACTATTTATGGATCATCTAGACTGTTCTTGTTTCTTTGTCTAGCTTAGAGGCTCTCTCTCTTTTAGATGGAAGCTTTCCTAAAATATAGATCTTACACTCCCTTTTTGCTCCTTTTGCAGGTTGTTGCTCAAACGATTAAGTCTTGTTTGGATAACCTGCCTGGTTATCCCAGAACTCAAATTGGATTTATTACTTATGACAGCACGTTACATTTTTACAACATGAAGGTAAGAGAATTTGGAACACACAGGAACTTTTGTTTTGAAATTCTTTAGCCTCCATCATTTAATATTTGTGGACTTTGGCAATGCAGTCATCTTTGAGCCAGCCGCAGATGATGGTTGTATCAGATCTAGATGATATATTTGTCCCATTGCCAGATGATCTCCTTGTCAATCTATCTGAATCTAGAACTGTGGTGGAAGCCTTTTTGGACAGTCTACCTTTGATGTTTCAAGATAATGTCAATGTGGAATCGGCTTTTGGCCCAGCTCTCAGAGCGGCATTTATGGTTATGGTTAGTTACTATCCTGCCATAGCAAAATAAGTATCATATAATACATTTGATGTTAGGTGTCGTATTTGAATCCTCATCTGAAATTTGGATCAGTTTGTTGACTTTGTTTCTCTCTCTATTTCAGAACCAACTTGGGGGCAAGTTGCTAATTTTCCAGAACTCGTTACCTTCTCTTGGTGCTGGGCGGTTAAAGTTGCGGGGAGATGATCCTCGTGTCTATGGAACTGACAAAGAATATGCATTAAGGGTAGCTGAAGATCCCTTCTACAAGCAAATGGCTGCCGATTGTACCAAGTTCCAGATAGGAATTAATGTTTATGCATTCAGTGATAAGTACACTGATATTGCCTCCTTAGGTATGTGAACGTTAAGGTTATCAGTTGATGTTTATTTCAGGTGTTTGGAGTCATGGGTGATAGTTAGTGGTGCTTTCTACTCCCATGAATATTGCTATTTTAAAAGATGAGCCTGTAATTACAATTTTTTGTTTCTTGAAGGGACTCTGGCAAAATACACTGGAGGACAGGTGTACTATTATCCAGGTTTCCAATCATCTGTTCATGGAGATAAGTTAAGACACGAGCTGGCTAGAGACCTTACAAGGGAAACTGCGTGGGAGGCGGTTATGCGAATAAGATGTGGAAAAGGTTTAATAGTTTATGATAGTATATTCGTTTTTGCTGCCTGCTATGTCAATATTTGCTAAATGCATTGGTATGCTACTTGTGATCTTATATATTTGTACGCAGGAATTCGTTTCTCGTCCTACCATGGGAACTTCATGCTAAGGTCTACTGACCTGCTTGCTCTTCCTGCTGTTGACTGTGACAAAGCGTATGCAATGCAGCTATCTCTTGAGGAGACACTGCTAACATCCCAGACTGTATATTTCCAAGTGGCTTTGCTGTATCCTTGAATAGTTGATTTTTTAAACATACTTGAGTTTGAAGTTTAATTTTCAGCTGGTACAACGCATCATGTGGCTTTTAGTAATCCTTAACAGAACTAAGATATACTGCCTCTTGCGGAGAGAGACGTATAAGGGTACACACATCGGTTGCACCAGTGGTTACAGATCTTGGGGAGATGTATAGACAAGCAGACACTGGTTCCATTGTGTCTTTATATGCTAGATTAGGTAAGCTACATTCAATTTTTTTTCATATGCTACTTTTGATACTATTAATGAAAATTTAAAATTCTGCAGCAATTGAGAAATCTTTGTCCGCAAAATTGGATGATGCACGGAATGCAATACAGCAAAAGATTGTTAAAGCCCTCAAAGAATATCGTAATCTTCACGCGGTGCAGCATCGCTTGGGGTCCAGATTAATATACCCAGAGTCTCTGAAGTTCTTGCCATTGTACGGATTGGCAATTACTAAGTCCACTCCTCTTCTAGGTGGGCCTGCTGATACTTCTCTTGATGAGCGCTGTGCTGCAGGCTTCACCATGATGGCTCTGCCTGTCAAAAAGCTATTGAAGCTTTTGTATCCCAATTTATTCCGTGTTGACGAATGGCTCTTAAAGGTTTGTGTATTTTTATCTCATTGTCCATTATCAAACATCAATGTTCAAGAAATAGTAATTAATTTGTGAATTCACATGCTTGCAGCCATCAACAGACCACGATGACTTTAAGGACGTATTAAGGAGATTGCCTCTGGCTGCAGAGAGTTTGGATTCTAGAGGCCTTTACATATATGATGATGGTTTTCGATTAGTTTTGTGGTTTGGCCGGATGCTTTCACCTGACATTGCTAAAAATCTTCTTGGGGGCGACTTTGCAGCAGAGCTCTCAAGGGTATGTATTTTTATCCACATATATCCTTACATATGAATATATGAACAGGCGTTATATTCGATGATGTATATGCATCATTAGTATTTTTCATGATGTTGGTTCCTTGATTTTGTTTCTGTCTTTGAAACATCATATTCTGTATGAATCCCTTATCTTTCTTCGTGTTGGGTCTCTTAGGTTACCTTTCAAGAGCAAGAGAATGGAATGTCGAAGAAGCTAATGATGTTGGTAAAGAAACTGAGGGAGAGTGATCCTTCATATCACCCCATGTGTTTTCTAGTGAGACAAGGAGAACAACCCCGAGAAGGCTTCCTTCTCCTCAGAAATCTCATTGAGGACCAGATGGGCGGTTTGAGTGGTTATGTTGATTGGATTCTACAACTTCACCGCCAAGTTCAACAAAACTAAGATAGCTTGCAATGGTAAGGAAAAATACCATCATAACACTTCCAATACATGCTTAGAGTACCGAATCATGTTCGACGCATCTTATGAAGCGGTTTTATTTTCAGACAACTCTTGGATGCCAGGATGCACCTCTTTGTAACCATGAAGAACTCTTGAGCTCAAAAATCTTCTACTTAAGCCGGATCATGGCGGCCTGCTTCCTTGGGCCTTAATGTGTTGTTTTGGAAAAAAGAAGTGCTATTTTGATTTTTCTTCATTTATTTTCTGTAGACCTTTTCCTCAAGTCTAGGCTTTTATTTGCCTAACCAGAATGGTTTTGTCCCATAAGATTAGTCGTTTTTTAATCTTTTGTTGCCTTTTTTTTTGGTTCTCTTTCGAATTTTTTGTTGCTGTGCGTCTGTACTAGATTTATTTTGGGAGTTACAGTTCATGAATCTCGTAATTAGGGTTATTAACAAGAAAATGGCTTCTGTTCAAATTTAATATATTCTTATGAGAACTTTTCATTGGGATGAAAATCAGCATTTGGATATACGAATTATACTATCTGTTATTGTTTATCTTTCTAAATTTTGAGGTGCCTCCTAGCTTATATGAGGTAATCGAAATAAATCATTTTTATAATTAAGCATGAACTTTGACCGAATACTTTTTGGCTTTGCGCTTAAGCAACTAGACTTTTATTTTAATGCGGGAAAAAAACGAAGAAACAGCTATAATTCTGATTCAAAGATTCTGGTCGGAGTGAAAAAAAAAAAAAAAAAAAAAAAAAAAAAGATTCTGGTCGGTTGAACCGGGACGGTTTGAGATGGAGAAGAAACGTGTTAATTTCTTATTGGGTGGTACATTCTAGAACGTTACAGAATAAAGACGGTCGTCGGTATAGGGGGTCAAAGTTGCTTATACGACGTCGTAGAAGAATCTTCGAATTTCCCAATCGCTCTTGCCTTTATAAACCTCTCTATGAACCATTGCTGTCCAAGAAATCTTCCAGATTTGCGCATATCGACAATTCTCCGAGCTTGCTGGAGATACAAAGTACGGCGGCGATTTTACGTATGTGATCAATCTCCCTCATTTATCGCTATCAATTTTATCAATTGATCGTGGTTTCTAGATTTGGATTTTCTATTTGCGGATACTAGTTTTGTACGGAATCGATTTTGGATTTGGTCTTTAAGATTTTCGAATTCTTGTTCGGGGAAACTCTTTTTAACGTCTTATTGTTTGTTCGGAATCATTCTTGTAGCTCAGGTCTTAGATCTGTTCGATTGTAAATCTTCTTGTGCGAGAATTTTGATTTTGATTTGTTTTTTTTTTTTCATTCAGGTAGTAAACGTGTTTCAAGGACTTTTATTGTGTACTCGAAAATGGCTGAGGTACGATCTCTTTTTTTTCATATCTGGTTTGTAGTAAATTGCATTGCCTCGTTGTTAGTTTGATTGAAAGAGGTGAAATATGTGATATGGCAGGAAGCGCATAAGGTAACGTTGAATGTCTATGACCTAAGCCAAGGCTTGGCACGCCAGCTCTCGCAATCACTCTTGGGGAAGGTTATCGAAGGTGTATGGTGAGTGAAAAATCTCTGGGACATGTTCGTATCTCATTTGTTACGTGCTGCATTATCTTATATAGGCCAAATTTGTTTTCAACTTTTGTCCTGGGTAGTGCCACATTCATGGGGTTTGATATTGTTTTAACTGTTGAACATGGTTGCGATTAACCCAATGTAGATATTGGCATGACTGGTTCTATGTATGCGTTAAGAATTATAGAGTAGTTGAATGTGTCTAAGCTTCTGCTTTTAATATCAACCAGAGTATGTTTTTTCCTTGAGCAATATGGATGAACCTGTTTATTCTTAAATTGTTTCGCTTTGTATTCTTTTAGGATAAGAATCTTCTGCTTCATCGTATATACCTGGATGTTATACCAGTAAAATAACATGTGAGTTGTGTATCCGTTTCCCAGGCATACAGGAATAGTTGTCTATGGAAATGAGTACTTTTTTGGAGGAGGAATACAGCATTTGCCAGTTGGACGAACTCCATATGGAACACCAATTCGAACGATAGAGTTGGGTCTATCACATGTTCCTAAAGATGTATTCGAGATGTATTTGGAAGAAATCAGTCCTCGTTACACCGCTGAATCTTACAATCTACTTACTCACAATTGCAACAACTTCAGCAACGAGGTTGCTCAGTTTTTGGTGGGTAAAGGGATTCCTGACTACATTCTTCAGCTTCCCAATGATGTTCTAAACAGCCCCATGGGTGGTCTTATAAGTAAGTCTTTGATAACTTGTGACACCCTCCTTGGACCCCTTTTACTCTGCTCTATTACTGATGTAATTTCGTATCCCCATTATGCAGTGCCTATGTTACAAGGCCTCGAAACAACTCTAAAAGCTGGTGCTGTTCCTCAAGTTCCACAGTTTAGGCCACAGCCACAACCTTTTGGAGCTTTTAGTAAAGATGAAGGTCCAAAAATTGAGAAAGCCTCTAAGCCTGAGGCAGCGGAAATCTCAGCTGCAACTGAGAAAGTGCCACCTGTTGTTCAACCATCAGCTAGTAAAGAGAAGGTGAAGGAGGACCCGTTGGGTGATGCTAGGGCCAAGATTCAGGAAGAGATTACAACTGAATTTGCAGCCCTCATGGCACAAGGCACATTACGAGCAAGTGAAGCAGCAGCTATGGCGACTAAAAGAGTCATGCAAAAGTATGGACAACTCAATGTAAATACTTAAAGCAAAATGAAACCCTTTATTTTTACTGTATTGAAAACTGAGTCCAGAATCTTGAACGATTTCATTACACTATTGCCTTCAGCTATATTTCGATATATTATGTTCGACGATCTACAAATTAATCACAGAAGAGGAAAAGAGAAGAGAACAAAAGAAAGACAGTTTTAAAAAATTATGGCTTTTGAATTGTGAACAATTAGGATTATACTACAGTCAATGAAGAATCTACTCTTATGCTATCCGGCACAATCGGAGGAGGATCTGTGAACGAAGTCCCAGGTTCTAACTCAATAGCAGTCTCTTTGGATTTGCAAAACATCTCTGAGGGAATATTGATCCCTGCAAAGCCAACCATAACAGCTGCAGCACCAATGTAGTCGGTGAAGCTTGGTTTGTTCCCTGATAAGCTGTCTACAATGGCTGCCAATGGAACCTGAATGGTTAGCCCAGCCGTAGCTACAGTGGTTGTTGTCAATAGGACTGCCTTTGCCCACAGATAGTCACTAAGCACATTATCTAACAAACCTGCAATTGTGATGAAACACACATTGAGTCTTTCAAATCAGCATTTCTACATCAAATCCTAATTTACTGCTTGCGCCATCAAATCCCGCGTTTATGAATAGTTGAGATTGATTGACCATAAGATTCAACGGAAATGACACAATGACGGAAACAAGGGATAGGATTTGCATACCTTTGCCAACAACTAAACCAAATTGTTTCAAGGTTAGTGTGTTGAAGCGTTCTCGCTTTGTGAAGTTGAGTATTAGAGCAGGAGGAAGGAAAATGAAGAAATTGAAGAGACCAAGAAAGCCCAGGAACTGAGCCATACTGACACGGCCGTTTCTTTCATCATCATCTGGAAGCTTTTTGCGTATAAGAGTGATGTAGACAGCATATAGCGCAGCTGAGACCAGTGAAAGAATATCTCCCAAAAGAGGGTTTTTAGCTACTGCATTTGAGTTGGATTCTGAGTCACCCATACTTACAATGATGGTCCCAGACATACAAAGAAGAACGCTGAAGAGTTTCAACCACGTGAACTTTTCACCCAAGAATATTAGTGAAACAAGAAAGGTGAAAAGGCTTGATGCACTGCTTAAGATGGTATTTGACTGCAATTCACAAAAATGAAAAAACTTGAGCTAAACATAAAACTAGATTCAGAATGAGCAACAAGATGAGGTTTCTCCAATATGTTCTTACCGTAACTGTCGTGTACTTGAGAGAGACATTAAAAGTAAGCTGTGCCAAAAACCAAAACGGGCAAATCACAAGGCTAACTTTAGCAACTCGCATCCGTGTCCAACGTCCCTTCTCATCTAATCCTTTATTAGAAACTCCACTAGCTCCATCACTAACATTGACACTACCATTAATCTCAAGCTCTACATTTTCCAATCCAGATTCAATTCCATTACCACCCTCACTAATCTCTTCCTCTCTCACAACAAGCCCTGAAGAACTCTCAGTAGCATCTGATTTCACACCTGAAACATCTTGTCCAAGCAAAACAGCCTTCTCAGATTCGACCAATTCCATTAAATGCGACCTTTTGCTTCTCCAAAACAATAAACTCCCATATGCATCTTCAAGATATCGACCAATCTCAAAAAGGGGAAGATAAACAACGAACAATGAATTACAGATGAAAGTGATCAAGAACGGAGAAACACCAGCTTCTACCACAGACTGAACTACAAAACTGGCTGCAATCCAAATCGTGGCAACGGCAAATAGGTACATCAACCCTAATACCCATCTCCATAACTTTGTTGACATATCTCTTCGAAATTCCAATTAGAAAAATCAGAACTTGAGCTCACCGATCTCACTGATTAAGATCAATGATACGTTTTACCTCGGATGCTTCAATACCCATGAATCAAAGATCTCTCTTGCAACGAAAAATTTCCCAAGGAGAACAAAAAGCGTAAACGAGAAAGATCTCACCAAACCAATTGATCGAGAAAAACAGGACACTGCGTGAAGATTAATACCTTCACAGCTACAGAAATTGAGAGCGGCGTCAGACTGTTCAATCAATGTCGATTCAAAAGCGAAATCAGATATTTATTTACCAAAGAGAAAACAAAAAAAGGTAGCGAATTCAGATAAACAGCGCCAATGAGAGAGCGAGAGAGACGAGAGATTGGCGGATTTGACATTTGAGTATGAATATGGGCTTTATTATCGGCCCAATAACGTTAAAAGCATTTGTAGCCCAATTATGTTTAATACTCACGAGACGGGAGAAACCCTTAAACATGAATTTGTTGATATAAAAACGAGACGGGAGAAACCCTTAAACATGAATTTGTTGATATAAAAACGGAAAAACGGTCTATTTCCCCACGAGAAGTATCATATCATAACAGATAGAGCCTATTTTTTGACCACGGTCCATATCTCTTTGAAATCAAAGTTCTATTTCTATTTCTCTCCGAATCAAAAGTTTTAACGCTAAATGTTCCCAGATCTGGATTATATCGGTTTGCACTTTAAAACCAAAGTAAACCGAATACCAAACCACTAAAATTTGATTCTAAACTGAATTAAAATATGACCGACCGTAAATGATCCGATCGGATATCATCTTCTTCTTCACCCGATTCTTCAAACAATTTTGGTAAAATTTGATATCAAAATTACAAAATCCCATTGCATAAATTTATTGTAAATAGAAAATTTGTTCTACGGAGAAATCTCCACTAATCTCGGAAATGCAAGAGCTTGACTTGGGTTCGATTGATTAACAACAAGCTTTCATGTCAAATCCCAGACGGGTTCTGGTGCGAAGAATCTATCGAACCTACGAATCTCAAAAGATCAATTTCCAACGAAATCAGATCGCTTAAAGGACTGATCGAGATTTCCGGAGCGGAGAATGATTTCACCGGTGAGATTCCTGGAAGCTTGGTGAAATTGAAGTAATTGAGCAGGCTTGATCTTAGTAGGAATCAAATCTTCGGCGAAATTCCTAGAGGCATTCGTGGTTGGAGGAATCTAAATGAGCTCAACTTGGCTAATAATCATCTCTTTCGTATAATCACCTCTCCAGCAAAATTTGCAAGCTGGCTCTGTGGAAAAGCAAGCAGCAGCGTGGTGGTTCTTATGGTAGTGGCAATGTGGGTTGGCTCCAATTTAGCTAGACATGCTCCTCTTCCACAAGGAGCTCTTCTCACCCTCCTCTACATGTCAATCAAGCTTCAAGTTGACTCAACCTGAATTTTCTTCTCTAAGTTTCCACTACGTTTAGGTTGTAAATAGCTAGATTACATTGTTCTCTATTCCAATGATAAGAAGTGTGTCCTACGATTGGGATCTTGGAGAAAATCGAAATAGTCGTAAAGAGAAGAAATTGCTTGAAAGTTACAAACTCTTTGTTTATCTTTTTCCAATATAACAAATCAAAGATTACAAAATTTAGGAGAAAGATTAAAACAAATGAAGGGTTATTAACTCGTCTAAGTATTATTATCAATCAGTTATTTCTTAAACTTTCTGCACAAAGAAGAAACCAAAAAAAAAAAAATGAAATCTTTTATGTATTCAACAATCATCATCTTCATTGAGTTTTCTCTGTCATTTCCTTAAGATTCCTCCATCTTCCGCTAGCCATATCGACGAACACCCAGAACCCATTCTCCATCCTCTGTTAATTGAACAAGAAACAGAGAAATTAGCACAAATCCCAGAACGTAATCGGATTTGGATCCTTCCACAAGCTTTAGATTTTGATTTGAATCATCAAGATCTAGCTTTGGGTTGATTTGATTTGTTAATTACGGACATATTTGTGTCTACCATTGTTTGTGAGATGTGGCTCTGTTTGTTGTTTACGATTGGGTTTGAGCTCTATGAAACTAATCGGTTTCATGCTTGATATAGTTTTGATCTGACCAAATTATTATGTCAACGGGTAAAATCGGGTTTACTCCGGTTATAATTAGGTTTAGTTGGTTTGTTTATCGGTTTTGTATACAGTAAACCGATTAAACCCAGTTCCGTGGGGTTTTAGCTCTCGAACTTTTGACTCGGGACATTTAGCATTAAAACTTTCGATTCGGAGAGAAATAGGAAGAGAACTTTGATTTCAAAGAGATATGGACCGTGGTCAAAGAATAGTATATATCTATTATGATGCGATACTTCTCGTGGGGAAATAGACCATTTTTTCTATAAAAACTCATATAAGGACTTTCTTCTTGTAGTTTTGCTTAGCGACACGAACTCTGTCGTCACTATTGATCATGATACCTTGTCAAAACATAGTTCGGCTAATGATATGATCAGTGTTCGACAGGCTCTAGATATGCAAGGAACCCTAGTTCGAGAAAACTTAAATCATTTACTACCAACAGAGCTAAAGATGAAGATACTAGAGTCACTTCCTGGAGTCGATATTGCTAGGGTTTCTTGCGTTGATTCAGAGTTTCGGAATCTGGCTTCAGACAATCATTTGTGGAAGCAAAAGTGCTTGGGAGAGTTTGCTAATTCTGTGATTGAACAAACTGAATTTCTATTTGATTTTGTTGGTTGGAAGCCTAAGTTTGTTGAATGCTGGAGGCTAAATAACCGAAACGCACGAATAAGACAGAGGGTTTTCTGGTAGAGGTTGGGACCGCGGTTCTGGCTCCACCCCGCTAGATCAGTTCTTAGTCTATGGTGACAGAGTAATTCTCTCTCTTGCATTGCACGTTTTCTTTTCCTTTTTCCGGGTTTGACCTAGCTAGGGGTTTTTCTTTAATGTTCTATGGATTTTCTTAATGGTTGTTATTAACTTCTTAATTTCTGAGTCTGGTTTTTATTTATTATCTGAGTAATTTCCTTTTATGATAAATAGAATTCTTGATTTTGATAGAAAACGAAAAAGTTTCTCAAACTATATATAGCAACAAATCTCTTACTCCATGATTTTCATTTAGATATCTCTAGATTTATGTGTTGATAGTGTTGCTCTGGTGTTGCTATTTAGCTGGTCTATGTGCTTGCATGGAACACCAAAGCTATAATTTTGAATCATTTTGACTACACACGAAGTTATTCATAATTTTTATATGTAAAGCTCAAATTACCAAGAATAAGAACA